TGGCTGACTTTGCTGGAGACCTTGCAGTGTTACAGAAGCCACCAGCCACCCAGTCTTCTGCATATGGGACATGAACTGTGATTCACCGACATTATTGCTGGTCAATTAGAGATGCCCCCGTGTGACTGAGGCCTTGATCTGTGTCTCTGCTGTGCAAACTGGCAAATGCTCTTGCATTTTGCCAATTCTGAGCTGAGCTCTGTAGAGACCATTCTCTGCAGGGCTTTCACCGAGGATAATGGGGAGTTGGATTACTTTCATAGTGATATGGGACCACTATGATCTTGCCAGAGGATTCCTGGGAGGCTGCCAAAAAGACAGCAAAATTTTCTTTTATTCCATTCAGAAGGAAAATAACCTGGGATTCTCCACACACACCACACTAGCAGAGTTCTTTCAGTATGTGCCCCCAATCTTTTTAGCTTTAAATCCAAGGTTAAGATGTTGAAATGTACATGGTTCAAAGATTCTCCTGAACAAATAGCTTCTAATACTGTAAAAGTCTGAAAGCCTTAGTTTCATCTGTTCCTGTGCTTGGTTCTATCTAAGCAGCATATATGTTGAGTGACTTGAAGTGGATCTTGAAAGTCTGGCAGTGTAAGAGGACATTCACTGCCTGAAAGAACTGAGCTCATTTGGAAGTGAATAATATGGGTCCAAGTCTACAAGCCCTGAAAGTTTGGAATGTGCTGGAAAAGCTTGAAGTCAGCTAGTATCGGTGTGACTTTTTACTGAGGATGGAAAAACTCTTCACCTTTCCTTGCAAGCTATCTTAGTGAATGCGACATGTGTGGACCAGAGAAATGGTGAGCCTGCTGAGACTGACAAAAGGATTGACAACAGTTTGAGTCACCCTCTTGAATATGTGCCGGAGGCAAGAACTTCTTGAATATTTTGCAGCAGTTTCTTTCTTCCTCCCCCTGGAACTGACCAATGTCACTGTATGTGCACACAGAGTATGTACACAGAGGGAAGGAACCCCAACATTATTTTTTTTCAAAGTATTTAAATGCTTTTGACTAATCTACTGGAGTCAGAGTCAAGGAAACCAGAACTAGTGCAAAAATGTGTGAAAGATGGCAGACTAGCATCTTTGTGGAATTTCAGAATCACACAGAATCACAGAATAGGTAAGCTTGGGAGGGACCACAGTGGGTCACCTGGTCCAACCTCCCTGCTCAAGCAGGGTATTCCAGAGCACATGGCACAGGATTGTGTCCAGACAGTTCTTGAATATCTCCAGTGAGAGAGACACCACAGCCTCTCTGGGTGCAGTCACCTGCACAGTAAAGAAGTTCTTCCTCATATTCAGGTGGAACTTCTGTGCATCAGTTTCTGCCTGTTGCCTCTTGTCCTATTGCTTGGTATCACCGAGAAGAGCCTGGCTCCATCCTCTTGACACCCTCCCTTCAGATACTTTACACATGGATGACAAGACAAGAGGTCTCCTCTCAGTCATCTCTTCTCAAGTCTGAACAGGCCCAGCTCCCTCAGCCTTTCCTTGTAACAGAGATGCTCCAGTTCTCTCATCATCTTTGTTGCCCTCCACTGCACCTGCTTGAGAAGCTCCATGTCATATATGCATATACAAGTCATCTCTCAGCTTTATTTCCCCCTCACACATACAGCCCCCCCATATGCATAGCCCATTTTTCTTACCTATTGTATTTTCTTCTTGTCTTCCTGACTTCAAATGGTGGATATGTTGACTCTGCTACTGTCAGTACAGGTAAGAGGGAAACATCTTTCCTTTAGCTGCAGGCCTCTAGTTAGTCCCAAGTCCTCAACAGGACATAGAAACAGCTTTTTCCTTCACATGCTGGTCAGAAGCCGCTTCTGCAGCTCATTGAAGACTGCTCTGAGTTACTGGGGTAGGGAATTTTTGACAAGCGAAGTAATCCACAGATGTGGGTGCTAGGAATATCTGTCTTCATTAAAAGTAGGGGATACAATGCAGGAACAAAGTAAGGAGCTGTTGTATGAGTGGCCTAAGTACAATAGCATTTCATTCTGGTATTGTGTAAATGTTTGATCTGCTGCTCATGTTTTAAGGTGTGGCTTGGGCAGGTTCTACTTGATTGGGACATAAACAGGTTTACTGCCAGACATACCCATTGATATGTAGTCATTAACCCAAGCTTTTGGGGAAGTTTTACATTGTGGGTGTTTTGCAGGCAGTTCTAGAAGAAGTCTTAATATAGAGAGGATACAAATCTTAGCAGGCTGTAAACTTACATACTTTCTTTTTGTGTTCTATATTTATTTACCCATTTAGATGTCCATTATCTAGAATGCTGTGAAGCCTCCAGTGTAAAAAAGTGGTCAAAGAAATGACCAGTGGTCTTTCATCAAAACATGCTTCCAGAGTTTCACAGGTATTTTGAAAGAAGTTTGTGCATTAAGGGTCACCCACAAAGCTGAGAAACAAGCTCTAATGCCAGTGTGGCTTCCTTCAAAAACTCTTACACTAGGAGGAAAAGGATATTCTTCTGGATGAAGAAAGGGAGATGTCCTTTTGCAGAGAAGTATAGCGGGCTGGAGAGGTTGAAGGTCTTCTGAAGTAAAGAATTTCATCAAGTGCAACCACCAGGCTTGGAACGGACATGAAAATCTTTGCTTTGCTCCAAATGTCCATTTTTATAAATCTGTGAGTTATTGCTTTGATAGTGTAGGTCAAAGCTCAATCCTGAATTCTATTTTTGTGAAAGACACTCTTGTCAATACTTAATATGTTATCTTTTATATCTCATCGTAGAGGTCACTTTCATTTTAAGTTTTTTCTATCCCTAACTGAACTTTGAAAAGAGGTTGTGAAAGTTCTCAGCTGAAAGTTCTCAGCTGGAAGTTCTCAGCCCAGTTGTGTGCAAGCTTAAAAACTGCTAATGTGATGTTTTATCAACACAAATGATTCAGTCCTTCAAACACTGTAAAACAAGAATTTTACAATCAGATTAAGTCAATAGTTGAGAGACTAAAGGAACTATACTCACTTTAGAATAGAGAAACTACATGAAATTGAGGCAGGAGTAGCACTTCCAGATCACTACTGCTTAAACATCAGCACTATGGTGACACACGAGTGGGGAGAATGATATGAAGTTCAGAAAGATGAACAAAGCCAGACTAAAGATAAAGCCAACAGAGAACTAATTAAAGCTACAGATGAGAAGTAAAACACAAACTTCCTTGTCTGTTCTATAAAGCTGATCATACCCAGATGATTACTCAGATGACCCAGCATAACCATTTCTAAGAAAAAGTATCCTTTGTCCATCATTGGGGGGTTTAAGATTGAAGTAGCATGAAGTTGCACACATATTAAGCTAGAACTAACCATGAAGAATAGTATAAAGAAACTTGGCTGAACAAAGAGCATTATGCATTATGGTTATCTGGTTCAAAATTTGTTTCAGTAAGATAATCCTGTTCAGTTTTCAAATGGAACAACACAAGGGTTCAGCTAGTCAGAGAAAATCAGATTTTAACAGAAACTATTCTGAGGTGCATTTTTTTTTTTTGGTGCATAAATACTGTGCTTAAAGGTGTTTGGCTTAACTCAGAAGACCACCTGACCAGAAATTACATTTTCTTATAAAGTAGAGCCAAATATTCTATAGTAGAGGAAAAAATCAAACTCCGATTTTCAGAGATGTTAATGGATTATCTACAATACCTCATCTATCACATGCAGAATGCCCATAATTTGCAAAACTGGTGTGAGATACTCATCTAGGCAGATCTCTATGGCCTCCAGCTTACACTTTACCAAAGGCTTGGAGAACACTCCAGTTTCACTGCAGTCATGGGAAGGAACTGAATGGGAGGTCAGAGTAAGACAGCATGGTAAACCGTCCTGGCAAAAGGCTTTCAAAACTTCTTTTGAGAAATATCTTTGATTCAAAGCAAACCCAACTGTGCTTCTCAAATGTTTGTGCATGCCAAGAAACAGGATTTTGCCCTTGTTTCAGCAAGACAGACTTTACGGCCATCTCTAAATCCTTTTCATTCACATTTTATTTATGTAATTGAATGGTTCCTTCTATATCATGTGTTTTCTGTACTTGTAATTTCACAAATTGGTTTCCTATTGCCTCAGGCTATTTTCTGTCCAAATATTGTATCTATTTCTATTATCAAGATTAGCCAACATGCCTGATTGAAATAACAATCACAGCTGAAAAGTCTTAGAATTCATTTCTAAACTAAAATGTAAGAAAAAGTGCTAATTCAGCAATACTTCTGGTTTTCTAAGGGTTACCAGGCATCCCATGATGTTAAAATACCACTTTTTTCCAGTCTTTAGTGCTCCTTTTGAAGATTGCTACAAGCAGACACAGCTCTTTAAAGTGTTCTTCTGCCAAGTATTCAGCACAAATTGACAGAATCTTAAGACTTAATAGCTGCTTCAGGGGAGAGAAGCTGCACTGGGAATAGAACTGCTTTTGGGAATAGAACTGCTTTTGGGAAACAAAATTCAGAATTTTGAAGAAGGGTCTGAAATCTGCACATTAATGGCAAGGTATCCATTTGGTTCCCAACTGATTTCTTGACACAGGGAAAACACTGTAGGGAGGGCTCTGGAGTAGTGTGGGTAATAATCCTCTTGCCCTCCCTGTCTTATTTACTGATAATTCCCTTCCTTTCTGACAGATGAAGTAAGACCATCTTGTGCATCAGTGAGAAGCCTGTAGCTGGATAAAAGTGAGCTGAGTTTACAAAATGTGGAATAACCACAATGCCATTATTATAGCATTTTTCTTCTCACACTAAAGGAGTCAGTCACAGCAGGATATTTGCTGTAAGATTCTCTCCTTCATGTATGTATTGGATAGTTGTTGTAGTTCCATAACTTTGGAGGAATTTCCTGTAGCCTGAACTGAGAAGCAAGTCATCAGTCCTGGGTCTTCTGATGAATCCCATGAGTGTGGGGTGCTGCCCAGTGGCTGATTCTTACATTTATTCAGCTCGTGGGAAAATTACTGCATCGTTTTTTTCTTCTGTTTGCTTTTGCTTTTGCACACTGGCAGGATTTAGGGCTGTTTCAATGACTCATCTGAACATTGTACAAGGAGCTGCTCACCTGTAAAAAAATATTAATGTTTCCGAATTATTATCAGACCTACCTAGCTAAACCACGAAATAACAGTGTATGCTTCTGGCCAAACTACAGCTCTTTTGAAATGTAACTCAGCAGGCATATGTGGCAAGTACTTCATATAGATCAAGTCTATGGTAAATCCTGGGTCTAATTTTGAGCAGATTTTGTTAGAGGGATGATTAACGGAAAAAGCTCTTGATGTGTGTTACTTTTATAAATGACTTTGACTGAAATGTTAATGTAATGTTAATATTGTTTAGGAGCCTTAACTAGTGATTCATCTGAATACAGCTGAATAATTCACCTTTTTCCGGAGTTTCCAGTTGAGGCACTCGATGATGGTATGTCTGGAATCTCTCCACTCTTTCTGCACAGCAAATGCCAGAGCTCTCAAGGTTTGAAGGACAAATAATTTTTCTCTGCAACTTTTTTTGTAACGTGGCAAATACAGTGTATCCATTGTGCTTGTTAAGGGATCCAGACTAACAATAGTGCATTTATTAACTGGGTTTCTATGCTTCTGGGGTTTTTTTCCAGAAATGTTTAAATGAAGGATAAACTTTTTGTCTGCCATGCTATCTGTGAGTGATTTTTTTCTATTTCTAAGTTAAAAGCCAAATTGGACTTCTTTGTCCAGCAAAATCTTGGTGACACTTTCATCCCAGGGATAACTGTCATCTTCCCTGTTCTGAGTTCCCTGTACAATGAGTAGGTCTAAGCTTCCTGCTAGGTAGCCTCATATTGTAGTGAAATCTGATATAGTGGAACTGGGGGTAGACACAGCACTAATATACTCAGATATCCCTTCTTTACTGCAGAAAAATGATGGAGTTGGGAGAAGAAAACAGAAGAGCAGTCTGAGATTCCTTTATCATATTCCAAAAACACCCTTAACGATATGTGAAACAGTTGCTATAGATGTCATCTAGGATTCCTTTAAATGTAAATTATTAGTCTGCACTGTGCCTCAACAAGCCTATAGTGATTATATACCTACCACTTATATAGCTTTCCAGGAGAGTCATGGAAGCTTAAATGGTGCTATCACTGCATGCTCTTGTGTTATTATGTCCTTAAAGCTGAGCTGGTCAGCACTGGTGACCGGCACCACAACTTTGTGCTCCAGGCAAAGCAGCACTTTTTGTTATGTGTAGGTTTGAGGAGGAAAAAGGAATAAAAATACTTGTACCAAAACCCTCTCAGCTTTGAAACTCAGTTTTATTGTGAACTAACAGACAAGCTGAAGAAGGTGGCATGACCCATCTGTCCTCACAAAATGGATTTCTGACTGTGCGACTTCAGTGTCAAATAATAAAAGCTGATAGATTAAGTGTATTTCCCACTTGAAAGGGACAGGCTGTTGATTCCTGTGTGAAGACAGGCTTTCCTTGCACTGTTCCTTTGGAAGAACCAAGTGTAATCAAGTGCATGTTAGTTTCTGCATCAAGGTGCAAGGTAGTCTCAGGACTCTGAAGTGTAGCAAACAAAAACTTGAATCACACAGCTTATGTTTTAACTTCAGATGTGAGGAAAGGGTCACTAACTCAGCTTCTGCTTGGATCCTGCATTGTCAGCTACAAATCCCTGCACTTATGTGTATCATCTTCAAAGAGCTTTAACTGTGCCTTGAAATGTTTATGGCAGCAGGAGACCTTCAGGCCAAGGGGCTGATGCCCACTCAGCAGCAGGACACTGAGTCAGAGGCCTGAGTGCAGAGACAGGCTAACTGAGCTGGAAGGTCTCTTTCAGATGAGCCATGAGTGAGAATGACTGGAGGGTTAGTCATTGCAGAATTCCTTGGTGAATGTGGCTGTGTTAATGGAGCTCAGACAGACTCTTCCTCAGCCCAACATCTCCACTGGGCACAGGGCAATGGGCAAAGCTTCATAAAGCAACGTTTTTTGCCATCCTGGCAGTCATATCTTCTGGGTGCAAGCTCTCTGTTCACCTAATGTGACTGCTAAGTGCTCAGGCTGTGCCCTAAATTCAACTGGTGAGTCACATAGGTGGTTCAAGGCTGTTTCCTCTTCAGCTCTGGGATGTAAAAGCACCCAGCTACTTTGTGCCCACTCTAGCAAAATGAGGGGATGTGCTCAGACTTGAGCAACCTGTTAAGCAAATCCCATCTTCTGGAAATAGCTGGATAAAAAGGCGACTTCCTAAATGTGATAGCCAGTCTAATGTAATAGCAAACTCATCAAATAGCTGCTATGCTTTCCCATGAAGAAAGCACTAGGGTGTCAAACTTTATAGAAATTTAAAAGCAACTGTGTTGTTTCTAATGACTCTTCAAACTGATGTGGAAAATCCTTATATTACAAACCTACAAATCTTTACTGTCTCACTCTCAGTAAATGGCTCAGATACACCGCCAGGGGGAAGAGTTTGTCTGTCTATCAGGTACCAAGCCTCCATTCCTAGAACTATTGAAAATTTAATTCTGATTCTAAGAGAGAAATCCAACTGTTTTGATTATGAAACAGTGTTCTGCAACATGAAGTTTTCAGTAGCTTACAAATAAGGTAAATTATCTTTTGTGGTTTAATACAGACGGCACACCTTCCTTGAAACTATGTTTTTCTTCGGAAAATAAATAAATGGCTGCCCTTCCTTCCTTCCTGCCTGCCTGCCTGCCTGCCTGCCTTCCTTCCTGCCTTCCTTCCTTTCTGCCTCCCTCCCTCCATTACTCCTTTCATAAGAACACTGCTGGCAGTTTGTAACTTTTGGATTCTAGTGCTATCTGAAATACAGGTTAATACTATTCAAATGCTTAAAACAATTAAAAAAATTAAATTCTCAATAGCTAAGCTGCAAATGTATTGTTTTTTCTTTCCAGCCTGCAGCATAAACGTGTATAGGTAGTTGGATGTCTCCTACTGGGATTTATGAGCGTGAGCTAGTACTGGTGGCTTTTCAGAAGCTCTGTATAGTGTAAACTTTTGCAAAAGGAATGCAGTAACACTGTGTTATAGTCACTCATATTTATTCCAAATATTTTGTCTTTTAAATTAAGTGCTCTTTGGCATGCAGACATCCTGCTGACAACAGCAAATTGATTTTTCAAAGAACATCAGTTATTTCAATTGAAGTAAGATGTTCCTATATCTTATTTTTCCTCCAGGAAATAATCAAACAGACAAACATGACTGTGAATATTGGTAACTCAGATGAGGAGAAGAGAGGTGTTAGGGTGTGTGGTATTTTAATTTAGGCTCAAGCACATTTTTATAGAAAGAATCTCTACATAGTCCTCACCTGCTGTGCTTTCGTTTGTGCAGTACAGCGGGCTTGAAGCATGTGACTATTTTGGGTGAAATTAAACTTGAAGGCTCTGGGAGTGCCTCTAATGCACTTGAGCCCCAAACGTAGGACCAGCTGCTGGGACCAGAGTAAAGCTAGTCTGAAGTAGCAACTGCTAAAGTAGGTATGGTGTGGCTGTCTGGTCCTCAGCACCAAATTCTTTGCAGAGATTTTGCTCATTGCATATGTTGACATGGACACGTGTTGAAATAGTCTGTAAAATGTCTTTAAAGAGTCTTTAAATTGTCGAGCCAAAATTGCACAATTATACAGGCTCTGCATGCATACTAAAAACCTGGACAAATCCTACCTGTCGTTTCCTGCTCTCTGTGAAATTATTCGTGAATTTGTGAAGCCTGTGAATTTGTCAGCGATAGCCTCATACTGTTACAGCAGAGAAATTGGCTTTCTGCAGCTGCAAAGCTGCAAATTCCACCTCCATCTCTACTGCACATAGTGTTTGGTTGAACTCTAAAATTGTCCACTTTTAGCTGATAATCTTTTCAGGAGGAATTGTTATTGTCACTGCTTTGAGCACCAATTTTTATTACTGACTTTTGAAATTTGTAGAGACAAACCTAGCTATGGCACCTGCTCTCATTTCTTCTAATTTCCAAAACTATATTCTTCTTCTCCTCTGGCTCCTCCTTACCTGTAGCTGCAGAACAGTTGGTTCTTGAGTGATTTATCAGGAAGCACAGAGGGAAATATCTGTGACCCTAAGCACACTAACAGCATCATGCTTCTGCTCCAGGAAGGGCCCTAAAAGCTTCTCATCCTGCAATTTGTGGAAAAAGAAGTCCTGTAGATATTTATTTTCTTGGTGAAAGTCTTGGTATAATTAATGAGCTTAAGGGTATTGACTGTTTAAAATGTGAATGCAGAAGATATATTAAGAAGCCTCATTAGCTGTGCTACTAGAATGAAACCTAAGACTTCACAGTATCCTTTGCAGGATTATTTTGGTGCCTGTTCCACAGACCTTCTCAAAGTGTATACCACAGTTGATGCTGGCTCTCTTTACAGTGTACCTTTGTACACGCACTGACAATGTGGATATCATCCTGCAGCTACTTGCCAGGTAGCATAGCATAATCTTCATTTCACTGGTAAGAGTGACTTGTCTGAGATCACAGTGTAAAAAAATAATAACCTTGATCTCATTGTGATTCTCAGTGGAGTTCCCTCTGTCTGACAGCTTAAATCAAAGGGATAAAAATTAAATCAGTGGAAAACTGGTGTAGCTTGTCAGCTGTTGTCCCTGTATTTACTGTGCTTTTTGAGCTTACTTGATTGCCTTTTAGGGACATGGTTTTTAAATTTAATTAATGTGCCATTACTCTTTCCTCTTTCTGACATGGAGAAACTTGAATAAATTGTGTATTGACAAACTGAACCACTTACAGCAAGGCATTGCACTCATCCAGTGGTGTGCTCACTGTTATGTGCAAGACCTGAGCATGAACTTGGGGCCCAGTGGGCTGCTACACCTGGGAGAAATGCCACCTCCAGCTGCGAGCATGAGACCTGAAAGCAAATGTGACTCTGTTGTTCATGTTGCAAAGCAAAGTTGCCTCGTCTGTACTGCCTCTGCCTCAAGCACTTGCTATGTACCTCACAAAGGCATGTTTTGTGTATACATGTATACGTGCGTGTATCTACACATTGTATTCATTTATAGGTGTGTAGATACATTTGTCTGTACTGGGTCTCGCTGGTATGGAGTTAGCTTTCTTCTCAGCATCCACTGTGGTGCTATGCTTTGGATATACGGTCTGTTGTTATCACACGGGTGTTTTGGCAGTGTGCTTGCATGGCTGGCTTCGAGGTTTTCTTCTTCCCACTGTGTCCCCCCAGTAGGCCATTCATAGAATGAATTGGACTGGAAGGGAGCTTAAAGATCATCTAGTTCCAACCCCCCTGCCACAGGGCTATATATATTGTTTGTATGAGTATATATCAGTCCAGTGGAGTGCCACAAAGATGATTAGGGGTTTAGAATGTCAGAGACTGCAGGAGTTGGGCCTGTTTAATGAGAGGGAATCTCATTAATGCATATTAAATATCTCAAAGGTAGGTGCCAAGAGGACAGTGCCAGACTCTTTTTGGTGGTGGCCAGTGACAGGATGAGGAGACAATGGGCAGAACAGGCTGGAACAGGCTGCCTGGTGGAGTCTCCCTCTCTGGAGACATTCAAAACCTACCTGGATGAGTTCCTGTGTAACCTGCTCTAGGTGACCCTGCCTTGGCAGGGGGTTGGACTGGCTGATCTCCAGAGGTCCCTTCCAACCCTAACGATTCTATGATTCTGTGATATTGAGGTACATATGTATGGTATGTATGCGGCTTTATACATACATATGTATGTATATTTATGCATAACTAAATACAGCCATAGCTGCAGAGGTGCACGTACACGATTTTTATGTGCACCTAGATGTTTATGTACACATATACATACATTCCTAGGCACCTACAGACGTGTGTTTGGTATATACGCAGGCATGTATGTTTTACACGCACACTGACATGCATATTCCGTGTAAACATGTGTGTGTTTGTCTAGGAGCACCTCCGTGCTGTATGTGGACACACATCCACGCTGCCCTCACACGGCTCTCCCGGCAGGCCGGACTGGGCCGCGTCCTCATGGCAACGCCCGGCGCTGGCGCTCGAGCGCGGCCGCTGCCGCCCGCCGCCGCCGGCCGGGGCGCGGGGACAGCTGGGACCGGGGAGTTGTGGGGTCGGGAGAGGGTGCCCCGACAAGGGGCGACCCTCGGCCCCTCGGTGAGAAACGCTGAAGTAAATGTAACCCCGCTAAGGTTTGTGCTTGCCCAGCATGTCCGGCGAGTTGACCGAAAGTGTCATCAAGGGAATAATCCGCAAAGTCGGACTGGAGTGCGCTGCCCAGGGACAAACCCTGTCTGAAACCTTGGTGGCGTTCATGGTAAGCGCGAATGAAGCGTTCAGGGGGTGGCGGCAGCTGAGGCTTTCAGGAGTGACCTGAGCTTTGGAACATCTTGGTTTCCATTTGCCTGCATTGAGAAATTTTAAAGGGGCGTTCAGCGGCATTCAGTATAGGGTCCTAAAAACCTGAAAAAGTATTTTATTCCTCTGAAATGGCATGTATGTGAATGTAAAGTCCCAAGAAGGCTGCAAGTCTTGAGTCCTGGAAACGCTCTGAGCTCCAACTCAGAGCTCTTTCTTGGTTTTCTTCTACAGGCAGATAAACCATTGTTTTCTTTCTAAAGTGAAAAAGATAAGTGTTCCCAAGTTTTAATAATGTTTCTTCCCACTCTCATAAATGAACAAAAAGGCATGACGCATAGGTGAATGTTTATTGCAGCAGCTGTATTTATTCTTTGACATTTAGCTCTTCCCTCTGTTGTGAAGGATTATTTTGTTTGTTTCTCTACTGAAACAGGGCCAGGTGGTATAAATGGGCTGAATATTTAAAGTAGTGGGCTCAGATCCCATTTAAACTGAAAATGTAATGCAATCAGTCTCAGTGTTGTCCTTGGTAGACAGCTATAAGTATCCTGAAAACATTATACACTTTGGCATCTCTTCAGAGGCACAGCACTGCTGCAGAATATATTCTGAATGTGCCTGCAAAGCTGTGTCTGAAGAAAGAAGGTGCTAGGTTCTTTATTGGTGATCAGCTCTTGATATACTTGTATGTGAATGTAAATGATTCACAGTAGTACTGTTAATCTGCCATTTTTTCCCCCTAAAAGTGACACTGTGGCTTTAGAAAATACATTGGGCTCAAAAGCAGCATTAATCAATTAAGCAGAAAAATTTTAATGAGTAAAAAGCCTGTACAAGTGGCTGGCAAGACACCCAGCATGAACACTACTTGCAAACATGCACATATTTTCCTGCATGCAGAACGCTATGGATTTTTTATCCAAATGGTAAATGTTTATACTGATGCATATAACATCAAGTGAGAAGTTTATAAACAACTATGATGGATTTTCATAAAATGTTACTTAGGTAAATATTTTCCAGGTCATTTCTAAAGAAGTCGTATTTAAATATTTCTCAAAGTTTGTCTCACAAATAGATTTTTTTTTCACTTATGCCTGAGAAGTGAGATTGAAACTAGCAACACATAAAATGAAGTAAGTTTGTTTCATTATAAAAGATTGAAATGGGGGAAAAGAATGGTAAAGAAATATTGAATGCATCTGAGATTTTTCAGAAAATAAAAGTTAATTGTAAAGAGGATATTTTGAGATGTAAATTAATATCTTTCTTTTGGCAATCTCAAGGTGAGAGCTGTTGTTTTAGATCCAAGAAATGGCTTTAATATGGATCAAATCCTTACAGAAAAAGATGTGCAAGATCTTATCCAGGTAATTCTGATACGATGTTGCATCAGTACTTAGCTAAGACTATGGCATTATTTGCTACCTGTTCCTGTAACTAAAATGACATGATCATTTTCAAAATTTTAGTGCTACTTTATCCTCATGGTTCTGTAGCTAAAGACTGGACTATGTGTGTCCTCATGTAAATAAATGCCTTATACTTATAAATGCCTTATATAGAGAGAATGGTAGTGAGGGGGCTCTACAGCTGTTGTGAAACCTGTAGCACAGTCACTGTCAGTTCAGAAGTTTCCCTACAGATGAGAAAGAACTCACTTCTCTGACTCTCTTCTTTAGCTCTGTGTTACCAGACTGCTTGACACAACAAATCCATCCCTGAGCACAATTAAGATGCAAGTTTACTTTGATATGAACTATGCCAACCGAGGTAATTTCGAAAATATGTTTCCATAGAAGTTGATGCCAAGTTTAGAATTTAATTACTCTCTCTGTAGAGCTAGTAATGATTCTTGTTAAATGATTGCTGGCAGTAAAGCAAAATAAAAATCCCGGGAGAAATGTACTGCGTAGAGTATGATGTTTCAGTATGGATGTAGTAGAGAAAAAGTGTACATTAGACTTGAGAGTACAGTCTTCTCATCCTGTCTGAGAGATGTCCTGAATGTAATGTATTAGATTGCTTGAGAATAATTATGCTGTCAGGTACAGTGGTTAGCTGCCTTCAGCAAGCAAATCTTGCACTGCACCTGTATGTCTGAAAGTACTCAGAACTCCGCTCATGTATCCAAAAGAAAACTCAATGTTTTATCAATATCCCTAATTGAGAGATATGAGTAATCTTGAACAATCAGTTGCAGTTTTAACCAAGTATGTTTTGGTCTTATCAGTGGTAATTTCATATGGTCTGAGAATGGGAATGTAGAAGAAAAATGAGGTGGGGAAAATGCCTCTGCTGCAAACGTAACTTCAAATCTCAATGGCACAGTGGAGGCTAGCTAGGAAACAGAAGACACAGAACAAGAGTAGACTTTAAAAAAAAAAACAAACACATTTCTGTGTGGGGAGATCACAAAAATGTTTTCTTGTTAGCATGGATTAAAGTGAAAAATTAACAACACTGGGAAGCTGCTCCTAAGTCCTCTGGACTCTACAAGCTCAGTTAAGTGCAGTAAGTTTCTGAGATCCTGAGTAGTGTTCAAATTTGAGCTCGTAACTTCAGGTTTGTATGAAATACATGTGTATGTGTGTGTGTGTTAGGACTTGTTGCAGTCAGAGGAGTCCAGTGTGTCAGAGACTTGCTGCCTAATTTGGCCTGAATAGTTCTCTGGACTCTACTGACTGATGTTAATCATGCTAATTATGTTAATCTTTAACTCTACCAGTTTCATTTCTAACAGCACGGTACTATGAACATCTCTTCCACATACCCGTGCTTCAGAAATCTTAATCTGGCTGTGGAAATAAAATGCACCCTCTGTATAAGCCAAATTCCAAAGAATATGGATAGCACTTTCTAAGTGTCCTTCTTTCCTAGCTGAATTACTCCGTGAGCAGCAGCGCATTCTGGAAGGAAAACTGGCTCCTGTGGTCAGAGATATCACAGATAATTGTCCTCCTGTGCAAGAAGAAATAGAGAAAGTGTATCAAAATATTGTTACCTATGCACTGCTGAGCTCTGGCCTGGGATCCCCTACAGATATTGAGGCTATCAGGGAGGTAACAGGTCAGTAAACTTCTAGCTCTAAAACTGGGTTTTCTAATTGAAAAATAAAATGTTACCTTCTCTCTGATCTTTCAATACAAATGTGGTGAACTGTGATGAATGCTTACTACCCAAACTGTCACTGCTCAACCTTGAAGTGGAAATTTGCCATGGATTTCCTACTTTTTGCAGTTGTTCGGGAGAGGGTATTTTTGCTTATTTAATGATTTTCTTTTCTGTTCCCTCATATTGAGGTTTTTCTTCCCCTTTGTAATGGTTATAGCTGCCTTGCAGAGTGTATTCCCCCAGACAGAGATGACTGCTTTCATTTCACTCAATAAGAAGGACAAAGAACAACAGCTGAAAAATCTTGCCATGCTAGTCATGGGAATTCGGTTGTACAACAAGGAGTGCGGGAAAGGAGGAAGGAGCATTGACGACTGTAAGTAGACAACTGCTTTTGGGCTGTGTATTCTCAGTTTTTCCTTCCTGGCCTTCTTCACTGGAGCTGCTCCAGTAATATCCCATCTCACTAGATAAACAGCTTTGACTCAGGGCCTGTAAACCTGAAGAAAAAGTACATATTTGCTACGATTATTGGGTTCCACGTAGACTACTACTTTCTAGCTAAGAGGGAGCCCTAACATGGTTGATGTGTAAAGATTATATGTATTAACTTCATGCAACTAATTTACCTCATGATAAGTTGTTCCCAGATCCCTTGCCATTAAGTGAATTAAATATGTAATGTTTGCCTTTTAAAGCACTTAATTACAATCCATTTACAAATTTCTGTTGAGTATGTGTGATGAGAATTGATAGAAGTTGCTGGGCCATTATCTGTATTCTGGTAATCTTAAAATGTTCTCGAAAATCTTTTGCATTTTGAATCTTTCTGCTTCTTTAATAAGCAAAAGATGTCAATGGCCATCCTGGATTTTTTCAAATGCTGTATTCAGGGTAGGGCAAGACTTTGATATTCCTTTTATTTTCTTTTGTTCCCCATCAGCCACATTATTTCGGCGAAGTTTACAATAATCAAATAAATGACTGGTCAGTGGAAATGTTTATGTGAACATCCATGTAGTATTGCAGCTCAGTGTGGAGACTTCTTTATAGGAAAGGTCTGCAGCCCAGTTGTAGGGGAAAACTTTTTATTTTAAAAGACCAAAGTTTCTGGAATAAAGGCTATAGCACATGCCTCTCCTGATAAGAAAGTCATGCTTTATTGGAAAGCAAAGCACTTGCTGAGCTTGTGGTATTTTAAGTAAAGCAGAGTAAGTAGGGAAAAAATATACCTACCGTATCAGAGAAAGAAGTAAACAACTCTCTAGATTTTGGTGCTTTTTTTTTTTCTCACATACCAAGCAACACATTAATGGTTTTCTATTTTTATAATACATTCTTTCCCACAAATGTCACCTTTCTGTGTTGTGGCTGTCTCTATTTTAGGTTCACTGGGCCTGGGTTGCAGCATGAGGGAACCTTCAACTACTGTATTATACAAAAGGCATAATTAACAACTTGTTGTGGTCTTTCTCACTGTAATATCTGTGGGTTTTTTAACTGATTACTGTAGATAATATGATTGTTGATCCTGTTACATTTGTTAGGTCACTGTAAGATGAACTTGTTTGTGCTGACCTGTTTACATATCACTTTTGAATAGATGGAAAAAACACAGCATGAATGCTCTTAGGTTAGGAAATTAAATGGTTATCTTTATGGTTAAGGACAGCAGTTAGACCACTGAAACCTTAATTTCAGTGTTGGCAGCAGTCTTGCTGAGGTAGAGCTCTGCTTTGGCTTTTTTCCCTGTGTCCAGAAAAGAAAATCAGCATAGTGCTAAGCTCTCTTCACCTGTTGTTAAACTGCTTGTAATACCTTTGCAAATTTACCTCCCCTTCTAGCTTGGTTAAATCTAGCCTTTCTATGCTCATGGGGTTTTGAGCAGACATACCTCAAGCCTTATTACTGCTCTGCTGCTCACCGATGTTGTTAGCATCAGAAATTCAACACATGCAACAAAGAGCTACACTTAAAAAATGTAGCTTAGCCTTCTTATTGTATTTCCTTGCATAGATGTCTGCTTAATAACACAACACATCAAAATATTCAGTGTAATAGTTGCGTGCTGTCAATAATAAAATTGTAAAGAAAAAATTATTTATCATATGTTGTATATCAGCTAAAATATGTTTTAATCACCTGTGCCATTTGGGGGAATCTGTGGCTTTTTTAAGTACTAGCGCTGAACTTTAACAACTGCATAGGCATAATTTTTTGTGCTGTATCTCTCTTCTCTTTTTAATAATAATCTTTGACTCATTCTTAGAGCATTGTTAGATCTCAAAGTGCCCAGAAAATGGGAGCCCTGTTATTGTTATTAGTACTTTACAAATTAGGAAACCGAGAATTGAAAATGGTGCAGATTGCCTGAAGTCTATCAGGAAACCCATGTCAGTTGTAGCAACAGAACTGCATCTACTCTAAAGCAAATTTTTTCACACTCTTTGGCTTGACTGTGATATTTCCACACCTCTAATTCTAAATATTTGAAACTTCTTGACTAGTAAGATACAGTGGTTGAATCTGGTATGTAAATAGTTAGAAATGCGTGAATATAACAACAAATTTTAAAAAAACAAAATTTTATTGGAAGACTACTGTGCTCAAATACTGCACTTTAACCATTTGATAATAATTTCATTAATTCTTTTAATACATATCTCATATTTATTCTATATGAATAGTGCCAGCCATTCTGAATGAAGCCATTCCATCAGCTACACAGACTGTCGATGAAGGTCTTAATACCTGCCACATGCTAGCTCACAAGTATACAGCTCTGTTGGAATCCATGCAGGAAGACTCCCACAGATATATGCAGCTTAGTTCATTTAAATTAAAAGAAGCACTTTTCAATGTGAGACAGTATGAGGCCTTCCTTTGCATCCTTCTGGTGAGATACCATCATGTTATGTTCTGTGGGTTTTTATTGCAGTTGGAATGTATTGAAGTTACCTACTTGTACAGGACAGAAATATAAGAAAAATGATTCAGAAATAAATGAAATAAAATGTATCTCTAGATAAAGAATCATAGAACCATAGATGGTTTAGGTCAGAAAATACCTTTAAAATCATCTAGTCCAACCATTAACCTGGGGCTGTCAAGTCCACCATTAAACCATGTCTGTAAGTATGACATCTACACATCTTTTAAAATACCTCCAGGGATGGGGACCCAACCACTTCCCTGGGTAGCCTATTCCAGTGCTTGACAACCCTTTCTGGGAAGAAATTTTCCCTGATATCCAACCTAAACCTCTCTTTGTGCAACTTGAGGCCGTTTCCTGTCATCCTGTCACTTATTACTTTGGGAGAAGAGACTGACCCCCACCTGGCTACAGCCTCCTTTCAAGTAGTCATATATAGAGAGAAGGTTCCCCCTGAGCCTCCTTTTATCCAGGCTGAACTCAGCTCCCTCAGCTGCTCCTCATAGGGCTTGGGCTCCAGATCCTTCACCAGCATCTTTGCCCTTCTTTGGACACAATCCAGCACGTCAATATCCTTCCTGAATTGAGGGACCCAGAACTGGACACAGGATTCGAGATATGGCCTTGCCAGGGTCAAGGGGACTATTACTTCCTAGTCCTGCTGGCCACACTATTTCTGATACAAGCCAGGATGCCACTTGGGCACACTGCTAGCTCGTGTTTAGCTCCTGTTGACCAGCACCCCCAGGTCCTTTTCCACTGGGCAGCTTTCCAACCACTCTGCCCCCAGCCTGTAGCACTGCATGGGGTTGTTGGGATCCAAGTGTAAGACCTGGCATTTTGCTTTGTTGAAACTTATGCCATTGGCCTCAGCCTATAGATCCAGCCTGTGGAGATCCCTCTGCAGGGCCATCCTACCCTCCAGCAGATTGACACTCCCACCAACTTGGTGTCATATGCAAACTTACTGAGGGTGCACTTTATCCTCTCATCCAGATCTAAAGATATTAAACAGGGCTTGCCCCAATGCTGAGCCAGCCATCAACTGGATTTAACTCCATTCACCACCACTCTTCTTGTTTGCATATTGATACTCCGCCCCAAAAGGTATGAGAGAAATAAATCATGTCAGTTTTAGTCTGCAGACAGCCCCAAAATTTATGGAATCATATTTCAAGAATATAATTTAAATTCTTGTTTTGTTAATGAAGAGCTTTTCATTTGTCTTTTGAGAAACTGCAGGGTTTTATTAGTCTTTCTTTATACTATAAAGCATTGAAAAATATTTTTTTTTTCAATTCTCTTGATTGTGAAAATGTAGAGAATTGTCTATAAAAATTACTAGTATACATGTTTGAGTGAAGTGCCTGGTTTTATACCTGAGCATTTAAGGAAAAATTTATTTTGTGGTAAGTTAGGGTGCATTTCATTCCTTAAAAGAGTTGTCTGAAAATACTTGAATGAAGAGATACAAGTAAATACTTATTACTAAATGCTTGATTTTTTGAGTTTTATACTTCTTACCTGAAGTAAGTTCTCTTTCCAGTCTGATGCAATTACTAGTGCTCAAGAAGTTGAAACCTTGAGTGTTCAGTTTGCAGCAACAATGATGCAATTGAAAAACACAGTGCAGGATAAGATTTCCATAGATTCCGAAGAAGTTTTTGTAAGTATTATGAATAGAAAACCCTTTTTTTCTTCATTATAAAAAATTATGAAATTATTACAGAATACTTTGCTGGTGTATTTTTTAATAGCTTGTGTTAAGAAAAAGGCTACATCATTTTCTTATTACTATAATAGCATCTGTGATTTTTGAAGGGGCAACTAAAGTAGCAGTCTCAAGGTTAAGAAAAAAGAAAGGAACAAAAAGGGAGCAAAAGAACTAAATGATATTTTACTGTAAATGTCTTTAATTATTTGCCAGTATTTGTAGATTTACAGTGATATTTTCCTTTTTTTGTGTGTAAATATTCTCTCCTGTTCCTTGCAGAAACTGTAAGAACATAATGATTACAAAAAACAGCTCATCAGAGTGTGCTTCTTTAAAGTCCCCTCAGATAGCAATCCCTGTGATTACAGTATGACTCATTGATATAATTTTTCTAAAGAAACTGGGTTTCTGTGATGGGGGTTTCAGCCTCTTTTCCCCTCCCAATAGCTTCTGAACCTGTTGGCAAGTTTCAGTCACGTTTCTCAGACTCCAAAGATCTCAAAATATGTAATTTTCTGCATGTTTTCTGGAAAAAAGAGCAACTAGAGAGACATAGTTAGAGCCTTCCTAAGATCAAGTGTGAAATGGTTTGTGGGCTGTCTGGTCAGTGAGCAGCCAGTGAAAGCACCTCTGCACAACTGATGTTTTGTACTGTTTCACTCTGGTTGGAAGCTACAAGATATTGGGAGAAGAGGGTCCCTGATGACCCTGTGAAAACCTGGGATTATTATGCTGGCATGATGTAAAGGAAATGGAAGAGAAATATGTCAGAAACCATCTTCATTAAATTTGCTTTTCATGGAAGAGCTCGTTATTTTGTATGATATGTTTATCATTTTAATTCCTTGTAGTTAGCTGCTGAACCAGCATGCAGTTCGTACATAGGTTATTTTTCATCATTCTAAGCTAATTATTAGAAGGCAAAAAAAGTCTACTGTGGAGGATAGAGGGAGGAAGGAAGGAAGATCATGGCCCCACATATACTCAGAGTATTTTTTACACTTCCCATAAGGGCATCTGAACTGGAAACTCGTGGGAATGGCACTTAAACTGAGGTGCATCTCAGATGTGGTCTGACACTTCAATTTATGTATGCTTGTGATTTTATAAACCAGATGTTCTCAACTGGAGAACAATTTCCCCTCTTGTCCAGAATCTCAGAGCAGTTTTTCCTCTTTTAGTGTTTCTTCATGGGACTTAAGTGACTGATGTATGTTACCCTTTCCCCTAGAAGCTATCTGCTGTTGTCTGCTGCCTTCCTAGATTTTTTTTCTCTCTTCAGGTTGGTTAGTTGATTTTTCTTCTCTGCTGAAGACACAATATGTAATGGCTTTTGATTTCAGGTCTTTTTCAAGTAGAGATTTGTCTATTAAGACACCGTTTAAATAGCTTTTCTTGCCTTCAGCTAGTTACTGAGGAGCTGGATCCTCTGCAAAGATAGAGAAGCAGGGCATTCTGCCTTTTAAAAAGCGTAGGATAAGGCCTATATTTTTAGTGAACATTTGTTTTAGGAAACACAGTACATTTCATTAATATTCTTTGTTTATTCTAGTAAGACTGATTTTGATCTTGCTGCCCTTCCTTTAGCTTTTTTCCTGTTTGTGACCACAACATTTCCACAGCATTAGTGATGCCAGTGAATTCCGAGCTGACCCTGTTGGCCGCTCTTATAATGATGTTGTTAACATGCATAAAATATGTTGACTCTCTTCCTGTAAATGCTTTTTATGTGTTTAGATGTAACAGAACACATTTTATGTCACTGTCATTGAAATCAGCATTTGTATCTAAAGCTTATAGGCTTCTTCTGTATGTGTGTACACCCGTATGTCAGCATTGCTGCTGGAAATAGCAGCTTCCAGTTTTGCCCTGAACCCTCTGAGGAGGCCTGCACCCCTTTAATCTGACACACATGATGCCCCGAGGGCTGTGGTACCAAGTCACTCTGGAAACAGGGCAGGCAAAATATAACAAAACCTGATAGTTTGTACATCTAGGTATGGGTTCACCTCATTTACTAATTAATCATGTATGTTTCTTCTGGCCCTTATTCCTGTATACCTTATTTTCAGTTATATAACTGTATGGCCAGTGAAGTGCTCAATTCCAAGCATGGTTTCAGAGTTACGTATTTGGGAAAGTCTTTGGAGCAAAATGTAGAAAAGTACCTTTCTGGCCTATGGCTCGACTTGTTGGATGGATGTGCTTTGGATGTGCTTCTGATGGAAACTCCTCTTAAAATGTCCAGGAGTTCCCCTGAAATTTCTGGTTGCTGAAGGCCTTGGAGATCAGCCCTGCTTTGTTCATAGCAGAGATTGTTGTGCACAGCACTTGGGTTATGCTGCAGACATAAAACAACTCTGGATTTCAGATAATTTTCTTTATGTTCTAGCCTCTCTTTCTTGAACTTTCTAAACTCTGGACCAGCTTTCAGGATGAAATGCTACTGCTAAGCTTCCTCACAAGTATGACTAGCAATCTCCAACAGTTCTTGGAAATCCAGTCACAGCTTTTTCCTGAGGAAGTGCTAACATCTCTTCTGGAAGGAGTGACTGTGAAAAGTGATGAGGAAAGGATAAGAGAAACCATGGGTACGGAAAGTTAATACTTTTTTGTTTTCCTTCACTTTCCAAGATTTTGTTTAAATTTTCTTTACAGAAGGTGCTACATATTGATTTTTTAATATTCAGAATTTGCATAGTAAATTAAAATAAGCCTGCTAGTGTGTAGATTTATTTTTTCAGGTAGTGTAGCTTGGGATTTTATTTTTGTGTATAAAATTAAAATATAGCTACTAGATACAAACATACCTTACATAAATGGCAGAATGATCAGAGAATACTTATACTTTTTTATTATTTCTTAAGTTTATTTATGCCTTTTTATACCTTTCAGAACTTCTGAAATGGAGGGAGGGTGATAAACAAGCTAATTTAATGGGGCTTTGGTTACCAGAAGTGTTTGTTTGTAAAATGGTATCTCTAGGAACCAAGTTTTACACCAGGGGATTTGTAATGCATGGGTGGGTGAAAATAAAATAGAAGAATAAGATACTACCTTCCTGTTGTTGTCCCCTGTTTTTAAAGAAAACTAACTAAAGAAGGCTCCCACAGGACTGATTTTTGAGTAGGTTCTCTTTAAAGGCAGGACTAATTTTGTTTTTTGGGATCTTGGCACTGCAGGACTTCCTGTGAAGACCAGAGTAATCTGATCATCCTGTAACATTATTATATTTTAAACACCTGATGTTTTGATGCTGAAAATCCTTCCTTTGTTAAATCATTTCTTAGGAACCAGAGTGAATGTTTCTGATTTCAAGAACCAAGAATGGCTTTTTCCAGAGACTACTGATAATTTTGATCAGTTGCTAATCCAGTACCATAGTTTCTGTGCACATGCAATTGGTGTGAAAGGCCTCACCCTACCAGGTATGCTTTGTAATTAGACATTTTCCATACTATATATGTGTACAAGTACTAGGGAAAATTTAAAGGCATTCTGAATGCATCCTCTTACATCAAAGGTGGAGTACTGTATTTCCACATTTGTAATTCTCACCCCAGGTAACTTATTTCCCCTGCTAAAGAATTTTTCTTTTTAAAATACACAAATAAAGTGCCCTAAATAGAAGGCAGGAGGGCTTCAAGAGAAAGTAGGCATGAGCAAGCAGAGGCAGCAACAAGATGGGATGGATAAATGCTTCTTCCTGATGTATATGCATCTGTATAACCTACACTGCAGCTGAATACAGGTTTGTTTGCTGTTGTTAATGTGCTATAATACAGGCATAAGAAAATGGTCATTCCTTCTATTTTGTGTATACCTGTGTTGCAAACACATCCATTCATAGCTACATCATATGTATTTTAAATAGTCATTATAAAGTAATAAAAATCTTCTTTGAAAAGAATGCAAAAGTGCACTTCATTAAGCTAACTGATCACAGGAAATTTTTTTATCTCTTCTAGGTTCATTTGTCTTGAAAGCATGCCTTATTTCAGCTACCTCAGCCCATGTTTTCTGTCTCCCTATCCTTTATAGAACCTATCTATATAGAATTTTCTTAAGCCTACAGGGGGTTGAGAGGAAAATATTGCCATTATTTGGCAGTATGAAAGAATAGATATTTTAACAGCAATGTAAATTACTTACACTTACTTAGTATTGCATATGAGAACAACTGTCCTGAGCTGGACTGAAGGTCTCTCTAGCCCTGTATCTGAGCACTGGATGCAGGCAGGGATGACCACTTAAAGTTTATGAGAAATGAAGTAGGAATGATCCTTCCTTAATTATATCCTTCCCTGTTCTAGCAGTTACTGGTTATGGGATTTCCTCAGAAAAATGTTGAGTCTGTAACCTTCTGTTGAATAATCCTTCATACAGCTTTTTCATTTATCTAATTGATTTTTGAATCCATCTCGAGTTTTCCATGGGATATTATTATCATCAAGAACCCCACAATTTATAATTATATATGCTATGAAAAGGTACCTCTTTTTGAGATGGCTTTAAGCTCTGGCTGGATAATTTCATCAAGACCTAATAATCTTTCTATTAGGAAAATTAGCAGATAGTAATTTTATATTGCACATAATTCATGGTTTTACTACTCTATATCATATTATTTCATTTCTTTCTTTTTAATGTTGAGGAGACCTCTTTCTTTAACCTCTCCTCCTGTGAAAGATATTCCAAGCCTCTGATCACTCCCAACTCCCTTTTATTTGTTCTGTTGTGTTGGAGCAAAATATATTATTATAAGTATAGCGTACAAATTGTTATAATGCTGGTTTTCTTCTCCTCCTCTGTTTGCATCCTAATAATTCATGACATTCTTTTTGCTTTTTTGACTGCCACTGAGTAATGTCATTTAGTATTTTCAAGGCACTGTCTATAATGATTCTAGATCTTTCCTGGGCAATGATGTCTGAAGCAGAGCCTGCCACTGTCCTTGAACTCAATTTGTGCTTTCCTATATAAGTTATTTGGCCTTTATTGACACTTCATTTTCTCTGTTAATTTATTATTCAGCTTCTCAGCTGCTTTATCTGCTTCTCCAGTTAATTTCAGTTTTATGCCCTTTGGTATAGATGCACTGCTGATCTACAATCAGGTATTTTCTGGAGATTATAGGGGAAACATTTGTGGGTATAGACTGGTTTCTTATGCCTTTGCTGTAGATATTTTATCTTTTGTTTTTCTGAGACATGCAGTAAGGCATACAGGATGTGAACTGATCAAAAGCAGTTACGCTGACCTAAAAAATATTTTAAAAGCTTTCTTTCAGGGCTTATTCTTATTTCAGAAAAAGAAGGAAGTTGAAACTGACTTGAGGGAAACACAGAATCTTGATTAAAAATGTCTTTTGTATTGGATATCATACTGTTCAGTATTTTATTTGGTGGGGTTTATTTTGGGCTAGTTTTTTCCTCTTTTTTAGGAAATCCTGCTATTGGAATTTTGAAGCACAAGGCGAAATGTTATGTTTTCAGTTCCAAAGAAGCTGCATGCACCTTTGCTCAAGATCCAGATAAATTCATTCAGTTGAATGTAGAAAAAGCAAAAGAATATGCAGAGCTAATTCAATTGCTTGAGCTCCATCATCAGTTCGAATACCTTTTTCCTCATGCACAGGTACACACTGCCCATGCCTCTTACTGAACAGCTGTTGGGTCACTGGTTACTCTGTCCTTTCTAGAACATAAAGACAACAGAGGATACACATCTTTAGGAAAGAAGTAAAATCATCTGCCTATCATACAGAATGTCTGAGGGTCCATCTTTTCCAGGTCTTCACAGCACTGAAGAAACATTTTCACTTAATGTCATTCTCACCTTATCTCTTCAAAGGAGAATATATACATCCAAAGGATTGTGGCAGTGATGAAACTGTCAGTTCACAGCTTAGGAAGGTCTTGTGTCTGATGTTTCTTTTCCTTATTTTTGAAAATGTAGCTTAAAGAAACAGTAAATAAATGCAACAGAAGATAAGTCAGATACCATATTAACTGGAGTTTTAGCTTATCAGTCCATCAATGTGTTCTGGATGAGGGTGTAGTGATATCTGAGGACAGGAATTATGGAATAGATTACAAAATAAAAGGGGACTCATTAATAATGAATGTGACAGTGCTACTTTGTGAAAGCCAAATACTTGATTTGGATTCATAGACATTATCTGTGATCCACTGTGAATTTTAGGTTCCTAGCAGTGGAAACAATGTAGTCTTGAACTGGCCCTGTAGTTTGTATCCTGGCTCTAGCAGAGATGTAAGCACTTCTCCCAGTTATGATTTGTGATATTTAGTCCATTCATAAAGACAAACTGAAGTGCCTCAATCATAAAATACTAGTGGTGGTGGTGGTGGTTGGACACCTTTTTACCAAAATCCAATGATTATTCACTCACTCAGGATGTGAGAGTCTAAAATTCAGCTATGGCCTCTGCCTAAAGAGTTTTCTGTCAGAAATAAAATCCATCAAATAATTAATAGTTTCTTTTTTTTTAGTGAGGGCAAGGGAAACAAAAATATTCTTGAATGTAAAAATCATTATCCACTTGTGGTTTGCAGGTCTCTATTTGCTTTTAAAAAGTAGCATATCCATATGCTATTTCTCTTAGATGTCTGTATTTTTCTCATTAATGCCTTGCTTGGTTTTGGTTGGGTTTCTTTTTTTTCATCCAGGCGAGAATTGCAGACAAATGTTTGATGAAACCAACTGCAAAATGTGACAGTAGTACTCAAACTGATACTCATATCTTGCCTCCAACTATTGTGAGATCCTATGAATGGAATGAATGGGAACTGAGAAGAAAAGCTATAAAATTGGTTTGTATTGTTATTATCAGATTTTCATTGTCGGATAACGAAGCTGAGAATAAATTATTGTAAACATTTGTTCTTTGAAAAATAAATCCAACCTTTTATTCAAAGACATAAACTTTGTTACAACCAGCTCAATATTTTTTTTCCAGGTAATTTCTCTCCTTACTTCTAGACTTTGTTCTTCTCTCAGTTTTTCCATATTTTTCCTCATTTTTTGACCAGTGCTTCCACTGCTATATCTATTCATTCCAAATTTTTCAGTTGCCTTTTTTATGTAATAACAGTTTGTTGTTTAGCATTGAATATTAAAGTTGTTTTTCTGCACTCAATTCAACAGGTTGAAGATACTACCATATAATTCCTTTGTAAGAAAAAAATAATAATGGTTGCACAAAGGTTTGGGTCATGCAAAACTTTATTGTAAGTTGAGTAATTTATATTAATATCTGTCACCATGAAGTAAGAGGAGGAAAAATTCTGTAATTGGCAGGCAGAATGATAAGGAATACCTTTGGGTATGTTTGACCCTGCAGAAGCTTTCTTTGAGCTAATTTTTCATTTTTGAAAGGTATCAAAGCATGAGGGCCTTTTTTTAGATTTTTGTTAGATTATTTTGGTAATGAAATACTTTATATTTTATCCTGGTTCTATGTGTTCACTAAAAGCAATTCTTTTTTTGAAAAAAAAAAAAAATTAAAAAAAAATTCTTCTCTCTTGTAGGACCAGAGAGGTAAGAAACAGAGCCAATAGGTTTTCTACTGTATATATAAGCCAGAGGAAATGTCTGTTATACTATCATGGTGATTTTCTGATGGATTGGAAATCAGAGTCCATCCACAGAAGGTTGACTACATACATAAATAAAAGCTTTTCAATCAACAACATATATTTCCAAAGCTTCTTTCTAGGGTTTGCCAGCACACACATTTGTCAAGGTATAGCACCTGATTTTCACAATTCAGTCAAAATGAACTTGTATGTACAGGGAGTATTGCAGTTACCAATATCAACTGGACACAGATACTGCAGGGTTCTTTTTTTTCCTTCTGTGAACAGATGCCCTTTGGAGGCCTGTGGTCTGTTGGGCAGCCTATTTCCTTTCTGAGTATATTTTTGCCATGAAATCTCTAACATTATATAAGGAACCCAAAATTTTGGACTGAGGAGTCTTCCCACTGTTGAGTGGCTTATAAAGGATTCTAAGAAATAGTTGTTACTTACGTGTATAAAGGGGCCAATTAGGTTTACAAGAGGCCTAACTAAAAGCCTCCTTTCCTTCTGTAAAGGACAAAAGTACCTAAATAAATGTAAGATGTGGTCATTCGTTTCTCTTTAGCATAAGCAGAAGTGGATGTTTCCCAATAGCTGATCACGAAGACCATACGCAAACAAATTAGTCTGAAATATTTAGAGAAAATACTTTAAAGTACTGAGGGTGTTTTAGCCTTGACTGTCCATATGAGAGATTAGTGATGTGAAGTTGAAATAAAAAATCCCAGATGCCTGCAAAACTGTTTTATCTACAGTAACTGGCAATATGGAGGTGATAAAACATTTAGAGTCAAAATGCTAAATGAACAGATCAGTGAATTTGATGGGGGAGCATTGGACATATTTGCTGGTTTTGTTAGAGGATTAGCTCAGGTTTTTTTCCTGCTGTTCATACTTAGCCAGAAAAGTTGTAGTGGTATGAAATGTTAAACTATTACTTTGTTAATACACCTATATGCTGTTAGAAGTAAAATTTTCAGCTCACATATGTTTCTCTGTGCAAGCACAGTTCCTTGCAATAGCATACATTCAGTTTTCAAGAGAGGTAAACTTAGTAGAGAACCAGTATCTCATGCCCGCTCTTGTTTTAATTGTCATTAAAACCTTCAGAAAAAAAGACTTGATATATTGTCTTTCTTCACATGCCATCTTATTGTCGTTTTCTGTATTTTCCTTCATGACTCTGCACATAAAATTCAGTTGTAGATTAAGGTACCAGAATGTGTCTACAAGCGTTTCACCTTCCATTCCAGCTGACAAGAGACATTGCTAGTGGAATCTGGAGAATATTTTGACTTGCCCTGACACAGACACCAAATCTGGCCAACTTTATCACTCTCCAACCTCCACTGATTCCAATCTCCACTGACTGGAATGGAGTCCAGGGACTTACTCACTTGTAGGGGTCTGAATCCCACCATGTGAGGTCGTGTTTTGTATATTTCAATGACACTATTGTGTCATATGATTTACAGTGTTTTACATAGTTGCTGACATAGAAGGCTGAATGGAATAAGGAACATGTTGTTGTTTCAAGTGCTGGCTTTGTAATATTAACAGTTTGTGATAAGTGGTTTTGTGATTGTATCAATAGCAATTCCTGTGACTAAACAGAGCTTTAATCATAAATTATCTTCACTTTTGCCCCTTGTCAAGGGGTTAGTGAGCAATGTCATGAAAGAAGGCATTTTTCCCTTTTATCTGATGCTTTGTGACACCAACCTGTAAACCTCATTACATTTTGTAGAAACCAGACAAATACTGGAAGAGCTTACCATAAAAACATTTTATTCTAACAGAACAAAGCCTTCAGCACCTAACAAAATTTTCCAGGACAATGACCAGTGGAAAATAGGAAATTGTTAAGAGACTCACTTAAAGTTGTGTGGGCTACATACAGTGCTGTTCACACATCCTGTTAGTTCAGGAGTTATCAAATCACAGTCACAAATGTGTATTGACAGAAGGACAAAGTGGGCTGTGTACCAGGTTTGTGAAGCCCATAGATGTAAAACAGACAAACACACCTAAGTATATACTGGTGCTAAAATGTTCAAACACAATTTTGCTTAATCTGATTCTTTTTCTGTCTTTAGGCCAATTTGCGTCGCAAATTAACTCACGCCATGCAGACTGATCTCAGCCATATGAAAAGAGAGAACTTCACCCAAGTGTACTTGCCAAAAGCTGTCGGCACCCAGACTAAGCGTGACAATTCCAGCAATGTACCCAGACCACAGATTTTCTTGAAAGGTCTCCGAGGACGATCCTCTCCTACTACTCATATGGTCAAAGTAGACTTAACAAGAGCAGCAGATGAAACCTAAGTGGAAATGAGAAACCTGAAGACACGTATTGAATGTGTATATAAAAATCCCTGAATATATCTGAATTAAGGTATTAAAGATTTTGCTGTGTCTGTTGATTCCAGGAGCAGTTGGTTTGTTTCATTTATCTTATCTATTGTGGCTGCTGACTGGCCTCAGGTGATAGAAATGATAAGCCTGAAGCACACAGATTTCAAACAGCTTTTTGGATCAAGATGTTCCTGTGGACTTGGACCTAAACTAATATTTAAATGTGTAGTGTGTGTTCTGGGATTTTCTTGAAATTTTAGTACAACTTTTGCTTGTTGAAATGCTGTCATTTAGTGAAATAAGAGAGTCATCCATTTGTCACAGCTCCAGCCTTAGAGCAGAATTGTCAGGAAGGTAAAACCAGCAAAATAAAACCAGTCTGGGTCCTTGGGCCTGCCTGTTTGTGCTGGTGTTAACCCAACCCAATGAGTGTAACCCATTGCAGGGATGTTGAGAAAAGGGAATCTATTTTGGATTGCTCTGGCAGCCCTTTGGATCTCTAGTAATTTCAGTAATTGTTGGCTAAACAGTGTGCTGGAAAGCGCACTGCAAACCATAGGAACTTCAGGGCACCTTTCCGAAAGCTCTGTTTTGTTTGTGTTTGAAAAACTAAAACAAAATAGGAAAAGATTTTTAGCTTTATGTCATTGTGGCAGGGAAATATGTGCCAGGCCTGATCAATGCAACTACAGCCAGTATTTCTGTATGTGAAAACCCGCATCATTTGAGCTTTAAGATGAAACATCTTCTCAAATGGAAGCAGAGGATACTTCAAATCAGAGATTCTTTTCATGACAACAAAGAGCTCCACAAGTTGCTATCTGCAAAATGTCGAGGTGCAGAACTGTGATTGCATAGGGTGTGCTAAGGTTTCTAAACCTCTTTTTTTTGTGTGCTGTGTGGTACAGCGTGGTTTCCTGGTCATTGTTACACAAGCCTGTGACAATGAAGCTTGAAGATTCAAGCTGCTGAGTGATATTTCTGGGGCATTGTGCAGGACAGCATTCTCTCTTTTTTTTTTTAACTGTTTCCAAGGTATCTGGCTTGACTTTTAAAAGTTATACAACTGGGACAAATACACAAAGCATTATTAAAAAAACCAAAGGAGCAGAAGGGGAGCACTAAGAAAGAACTTAGCTAAATGGTTTTTCACTCGGTGATTTTATCTTTTGGGAAAATAAACTAATCAGCAGCAGCCAGATGTGCTGCTCTTCCATGTTTTTAAATTATGAGCTGGCACCAATGAATCGCTTTATTAATAAAAATTTGAATGTGATTACCAGCTGCAGCTTTTTTTAAAAAAAAAAAAAAGAAAGAAAGAAAAAAATACCCTATTGCTGCTTTATTAAACGCTTTCTGTTGCTGTGATCTCTATATTTTTACCATCATTCACTTTGAGGCTTTTAAGTTACAGTTTTTACCAACAAACTGGTATTTCAGTTTTATTATTTCAGTTATACAGGTTGCCCAGGGAGGTGGTGGAGTCTCCCTCTCTGGAGACATTCAAACCCCACATGGATGTGTTCCTGTGTCACCTGCTTCAGGTGACCCTTCCTTGGGAGGGGGAGGGGGGTTGGACTGGATGATCTCCAGAGGTCCCTTCCAACACTAACGATTCCGTGATTTCAAGAATCCATAAATATATTTTATTTAATAGAAAACCGATGAATGAAAAATTCCGTTTATCCTACTTTGTCTTTTCCATTGGGGAAATTTTACTGCAGCGTTGTAAAATACTGGGGAATACAATTGTAACCCACATCGCAGTTCTGGCGCTGCAGAAACGTGCCGGTACCGAGGAGCTTACTCCTGGCAATGGGAAATACGTGTGTGAGACTCCTGGGTGTTTACTGCCAATAAAACAGTTCCGAAAGAGGCCGGCTGAAGCAGGATTGTACCCAGGATATTCAGGCGGGAGGGAGCCGACTCGATGGTGCGGCGCGGGCGGCGGGGCGCTCTGGGCGGCCGCTCCGCTCTCTATGGTGCGATGGGAGGAGCGGCGGGGCACGGCGGGCGGCTCCGGCCCGGCGGTCCTGGCGCCTTCGGCGAGCACCATGTCGCCTCCGAAAGGTGAGGGCGGCGGCGCGGGGTACCCGGCGGGTTCCGCGGCTCCCAGAGGGCGGCAGGGCCGGAGAACGGGGACAATTCCCACCCCCTGGCAAGAGGAAGCGCGACCCGCGCGCCGACGGCTCCCCCCTGCCTCCCCCGCGCCAGAGGGAGTGGAACTGTCCTCCCCGCTGCGGGCTGCGGCGCCGGGCGCCACCACAGCGGGCGAGGGGGGAGAAAGGAAAGGGCTGTGCGGGGCTGCGGGGTCGCGCCGGGGAGGGGCTCTCCCCGCCTGCCTTCCCGGCCTCCGCGCTCTCCTCCCGCTGCCCGGCCGCTTCTCTCCGCAGTGTGGGGCCGCTGCTTCCTGGCGTGTGGGCGGCCGGTGCTCCCGGTTCGGGGTTCTCCGGGGCGCCTCCGCTTTCAGGATCAGCGGCAGCCGCGTCTCCCCCGCCGCCGGTTCTGGCTCCGGGAGATTCCGAACGTGGCGCAGCATGTTTGGGGCTTATCCCAGGGTGCAGGTGGTCAGTGCACAGGGACATCTCCTGCTCCCACCCTGCGGGCACCGCCGGATCAGGGTGTCTGTTGGGCTATGCTTAGGCGGGACATTAGGAGGAATTTCTTCACAGAAAGGGTGATTAGACATTGGAATGGGCTGCCCAGGGAGGTGGTGGAATCACTGTCTCTGGAGGTGTTTAAGGAAGGACTGGATTTGGCACTTAGTGCCATGGTCTAGTTGACATGATGGTGTTAGGTCACAGGTTGGACTCGATGATCTCAGAGGTCTTTTCCAACCCAGTTGATGCTGTGATTCTCTGTGAGTCTGTGTGCAACGAGGCCAGAGCCCCGGTTGTCCCAAAGCCAGAACCCTCGAGCAAGCTAGGAGGGCTTAAATCCATCAGGAAGGCAACGCTGGCTTCCCCCATGGAGAGCCTTGCACAGGACTCTCCAGCTCTTGAGGCTGGGAAGGGCGAGGAGCAGGAGGGATCCCTGCAGTGTGTGCCAGGTACCCACCGCCCCAGCTGCCCAGGCAGGGTTGTGCTCCCTATGCCAGGCTTGGCCTTGGCTGCATCCCAGGAGCCCTGGTGGAGCCGTTAGATGAGTTGTGGAGATGTGTGGGAGGCCCATGCTTATACCCTGAGGCTTTTGGCCTGTCTGATCCCTTTTGTTGGAAATCATTTCATCCGAGTGGGATCTACAGGGAAAGAAATAACAGCTTCTTTCAGCTCTTTCAGCTCTTCTTTTCTTTAGGTTGGTATAAGTTGATGCAGACACGTGAGCCAGGCTGGAGAAATGTCTAAGCTGAAAACTAACTGCAGATACCTTTTTACATAATGCTAGAACTATCTGGTCTAGATACTAGATTCATTATGTCCAAATTATGCATTTGGTTTACCCAAGTTTGCAAACCATTGCCAAATTGGGACATTTATTTATTTTTTTAAATAGTAGTTAATATAGGCAGGGATTAAATTCAGTTTTAGTTCAGTAGTACATAGATTTAAAATCTTCATATGTCAAAACACGGTGTTAATATAATTTCTGTAAGCACTAAAACATCATTAGAAAATACGTTTTTGTAAAACTAGACTGGGTTAATTATATTTCCTGGTTGTTATGCCCTTGGATTCCCACTGCCTCTCCCCACAATCCAAATGTAATTTAAAAACTGGATTACAGCTTGTAAGTCTCTTCTAAGCATTGTTAGTCCAAAAATTAATTGGCTCTACCTTTTAAAAGTGGTTACTGACGTGGGTAAGATTTTTATCTATAAGGAAGTAGCTAATTTAAATGATTGCAGCAGCAGGAGGTATTAACTGTACCTTGCAGAAATATTACACAATTGAAGACATTGCTGGCTTGAAAGAAACATGAACCAAAACACTGGTTGCACTGGATTCAGCAACTCATTCCCATATTAAATGAGCAAAGTTATTACAAATCTTCTTATCTTGTAGCTCATTCCCTGTTCAGCAGAGGAGCATAAACTTACAGCAATTAAAGTAAGTTTTTTTAGGATGTTCGGAAAACAACAGATAGTGGCCCAAAAGGTGCTGCTGAATGACTAACATCCACAGGACAGATGCCAGACATAACAAAGAATAATCTACCAGTTTGAAAGATAGTTTTGTAGAAGCCACACATTTGCTGATGTGTTGTGGTCGTGCTTCTGTGTAGAGAAGTCCGTTTGAAGTCATGCTCTGTTCTCTTTCCTGGTTCAGTTGCAGGATTAGCCATTCTCTGATGTGGGACTGAACTGGCATAGCCTGGCCGTATCCACCCGATGGAACTCTCAGGCCTCAGAGGAGTCTCATATGAAAAACTGCCTTGTGCCAGTAGACCTGACTCCCAAATTTTGCAGGATAGTAGTTGGTGAGGGCAAAACAGTTACAAGAATTGCTACTGTTGTAGGAGTATAGCAGTGGGGAAGGCAGAGGCGATAATGCAGATGATACATAGTCCTTATGTGGTTTAGTTTACTCAAGTAACCATAACCTTAGTGTTTTCCACAGTGAGTTTTTCAAGAAAGCCCTTTGTGTGAAGTCCCATCACCATTCTGAACAAAACTCTACTAACTTAGGTGGAAAATAGTGCTGAAGGAAATGCTGCCTTAATTGTTAAGATTTGCTAGACTGATTCCCTTCTTTGCTGATACTGAACTTTTCCTCTCTCTTTGCTTTTGCTTGTCTGCCGGTTCTCTGTCAGACATCAGTATATTACGTAGAGAGGATCAGCTGCCATTTCAGAACAAGTTCCTACTGTCAGCTAAAGAGCAGGAAAGCACAGAAAGACTTTTTGATTACTATTAGATAAATATTAATGTATGATTAATTTTTCTAGAATGAAGGATGATTACGAAGGCAAGAGAGCATCTTATTTTCAAACACCTGGAGTTCCTATACAAGCTTCTTTGAGAAGGCTTTAAAATTTAACTAAAACTTTTTTATGAGAAGTGTTTCCCAACATTGTAATTATTGTATGCTGCTAAAGTATGTGTTTGTTACAGCCCTCCCCCCGTTTCAGTTCTTAAATCAAAATGAGGGCCGTGCTGAGCCATCATCTCTGTTTTCTTTCAGAAAATGTCAGCTTACTGTTCAAGCTGTACTGCCTCACAGTGATGACCCTGGTGGCTGCCACGTACACGGTTGCATTGCGGTACACGAGGACAGTGGAGACAGAACTCTACTTTTCAACGACGGCTGTGTGCATCACTGAAGTTATCAAGTTGTTCTTGAGTGTGGGCATCTTGGCTAAGTAAGTGTGGGAATGCTAATCAGTACTTTGAAAACAGGTCCTTGCTTCTAGCCTCAGATTTTCAGGTACTAAAGTGCAGATACAGTTGAGAATGTGGCTGGATAATCACTGCTGTGGAAGGGTAATTTCAGAATGGGTTAGTGACCTCTTCAACTGAAACTGCTTTGCAAACAGCACAATATTCGGGTGTGTCCTTTCTGCATATTTTCTATTTTTATATGCTTTGGAATAGGTTCAAAACGTCAGCATGAATTATCCACAATCTTTTGGGTCTTTAAAATGTTGGTGTAGATGAAAGTTGGACTGTGAGCCATTGTCTGTTGAGTTACATAAAATTTTAAAGTTCCTACTCATAAATTTTCCCAAACAATGTTATGGACAGATATTTTGCTATCCCTATTAATCTGGCAAACCAATGCTGAAAGACTGTGGACAGAAAATATTAGTTTCTGTAATCCCAGACTGCTGCCAAGAACTAGAACCTTAGTCCACGCATAAGCATCCGAAACAGAGAGGCCGTCAATCTACTGTGTTTCCTCTCTGCTTCCCTGTGCTACATCCTTCCTAGGAAGACTCTTTATATTCTGGACTGGTCCGAAAGCCCGGTTCTTGCCATTGTGGTAGAATTTGTTCTTTTGGCGTCTCTGCCTATTTTGTTGTGGCTTTTGGTACGTCAGAAGTCTGGCTGTTATATGCTAGAGGAACATGAAATCACATGATGTACTTCAGATCTTCATCAGATTTTCAACTTAATATCCAAATGGCATTTTACTTGCTTTAGTGGTGAGACAATATCTGAATTTGGTAAGTCAACTGTGGCAAACTGTCTTTTGTTTAACCTTTCATTAAATGGAAGGTGTTAGAAAAGGCAAGTGTGACCAGTGGCAAATTTCTATTTTTATGCACCCTGGGCTTCTCACTCTGTCAGCACAAAATGCTGGCAGAAGCATCTCTGCTGACACGTGGTTGTGCTGTGGTTCTCACTGTTGTGACCAGTGTGGATCCCACCTGCTCTCTGGAGACTATAGCAACCTGTGTTTCCCAATGGTGAGGGACCTGTGGGTGGCATTTGGTAGCCTCACCTGTGGTATAATTTGTCAAATCTTGTGTACTTGGGCCCCAGGCTGTTTATAGTATAGCAGAGAGGCCTAGTTCAGCAGTGTAAGCTATCCCTTTTGTTAAGGGTTTGTGCGAACAGTCTTTTTGCTTGAAATAATTAAAATCAAAATTACTTTTAACTCAGAAAGAAGTCTGTTTTGTTTATGTTTTTAGAACAGCCCTGCACAGCCAAAAATCCATGTAGCCCATCATTCTCCCTTTGGCAGCAGTCAGCAGAGGATGCTTAGAACAGAAGTGTAGACAATAGGGAAGCATAGGCTGAGCTTTCCTTAACTGATGGCAGAAGCTTATGGAGTGCCCATCCTGGATGCTGTGTGCACTGTGGCTGTAGTGTCCAACAATCCTGTGCTCTGTGTGATTGTCCAGTTTATTTTTGAAATGCTAGTCCTTACTGTATCTGTGAAGTGACTTTTGCAATTTAATTACATGCTATATGAAAAAGTACTTTTTAATAAACACCTTATCTAGCAGTTTCACTGGAGTCTGTTGTGTTGTGTTGACAGATATCATGAATATTCTTTCCTCCTTCATTTAGCTTTTCATATCTCTACAGATCTGTGTTTTCATCACTCATTTATTTTCTGAGCCAGGAGTCTTAGCTTAATTTTACTATGATCATCCTAGTACCCATCCCTACAGCATTTCCAGTATAGTTATATCCCTTTTGAAATAGAATCCAGAGTATGCTTGTATTCAGGATGGGAATATGCCATGGCATTAGGCAGAGGGGTGAAGGTGCTTTCACTCTTGGCCTTGGTTCCTTTCCTGAGGATTTGTAGCATTCTGCTGATTTCACTCAACACAGCTAAACCTTGAGCTGGCACCGGCGGAGAGCTACTCTCATAATTTTTACAGGTGCCCATAGCTAGATGGTTCCATATTAAGGGTTGTCATTTCCTATGGTTCTTTCTTATTTATTGACAACCGAGCTTTGTTTACCAATTAAAATGGGAAGAATCTGATTCACTGAGTTGTTCAGAGGTTATAATATCTATTCTGATCTGGTCAATAGTGGGGTTTTTCTTTCCATAGTTGAGAGGGAGATGGGCACCAGCAGAAACTGTTCATCAGGCCATGTCACCTCTTCCCGATAGGATGTCCTGCATGCTGGTGGGTCCAGATGCTCTTCTTTGCTGTCCAGGTAACTGAGCTGTTTCTCAGATGGCAAAGGATCTGGTGATTTCTGCTTAGTGTAGTGAGGGACTCTTTGGCAACTATTGAAAGTTTCCTTTTGGATATCACATATAATTGAGTATTATTAGCAAACTTTGCCAATTTCCTAGTAACCTAGTTTTTAGACCACTTATGAATATGCTGAACAGCACCAATTCCAGCATAGTTTCCTTCTATGTCTCCTTTATAGCTTCCTTCAGTTTTAAATCCTAACCAATTTGTCTCACCCAAGGCAAGGTGCCTTTGTAGTGTAATAACCTGTCAGAAGAGTCATCTGTTTTTTCTGTACAGCAGGATACATTTGGGTGGGTACCTGTTCTTTCTGAAACCGCCAGCAGTATGCAGGATACTGGAGTACAACTCTCGCATTGTTCTGCAGAATTTGTTTTCTTACACATTATTACATGATGCCTTCACTGTATTTACTTTTAAGGTATATCCCAGAAGGCACATTGAATGGATGAAATGCCAAAAGATTGTCTTTCAAAAGAGAAATTTATGATAGTTTAGGCTGTGTTAGTTGTTAACTCGACTGTACTCTCAATTTATCATACTTAAAGTCCTGCTCACCATCAGGTAATAACACTTTCTACATTCTTATCTGGTACATAATTGCAATGGATGAAGAAATGTAGAGCTGATTTGCAAGCTCTTAATTTTAACTTCACCTTTTCTAACAAATGCATGTTTCTGTTGCAGAACAGATTGTTATTAGTATCTCTCACCTATTCATACCCATGAATTGGCTTTAAGTACGGGGTAATGAATTTATGAAAGGGGGAGTGGCTTTAAAGTGAAAGAGGATAGATTTAGATTAGATATTAGGAAAAAATTCTTTACTGTAGGGGTGGTGAGGCACTGGAACAAGTTGCCCAGAGACGTGGTGGATGTCTCATCCCTAGAAGTATTCAAGGCCAGGTTGGATAGGGCTCTGAGCAACCTGGTCTAGTGAAAGGAGTCCCTGCCCATGGCAGAGGAGTTGGAACTAGATGATCTTTACAGTCCTTTTTTTTCCAACCTGAACCATTCTACAAAGAAAATTGGCTATGTTTTTAAATTCAAATCTAGACCAACTTCGAGAATGCTGAATTCAAGCTAGAGAATTTTTTATTTTCATATCTGATATTGCAATGTATCTCTTTGGGCACCTTATTTTGCATTATCAGCTGTACATGGGGACTTACTTTGAATTCTTTTTTGATCAAGTAGATTTAAATCTATATCTGCATGATCTTTGTACTGAATTCAGCTTACAGTTGGAGATTCTTGATAAGTGCGTGCTTCAGAAAGCACATCCACTGCACAGATGAACTATTAGATAGTTTTCTCAAAAACTAAAGTGAAGATGGTGGTTATTAGACATGTGTTATTCTTTATTGCTGAAATTCGATGCTAAAAGTCTAAGGAGACAAACTACTATTGCTGCTGTGATTTGACTTTAAATGTGTGATCAGCTAATTCACTGAGCATGGTCTGGAACAAAAGCAGGTATAGTTTAAATATGATTTTCTTTTTTGATAGCCTATCTTAGTATCAATGAATAGAAGAAGCTATTACAATGTGGTATTTTTTGACTTCTTACTTTCATGGAGTAGAACTGTGTCTGTGCTAATTATATTTTATTTATAGCTAGACATTTGAGATAGAAGCACTTCAGTCCAGCTGTACCTGGGTATTACCAAGTTTTCTTATACATCTTTCATTCATAATAATAAAATATATTAAATTTACTGAGGAATAAGTAAACAAAAAATTTTGCCTATAATATCAACAGCTCATAACATTTTATGCAGTTCTGTATCTACTGCAACTAACCATGGTGAGCTGTAGCATAAGCTCTCCTCCTTGTTTTGCAAACTTTGCTTGAAGTGTCCATAGATTTTCTTGTCATGATTGTTCCCTGTGGCCAGACATGTCTTGGCTTCTGTGTGCGCTCTCTGTTATGGCAAAATGACAAAAATAATCCCTTGCAGCCTCCTGTATAAAGACTGCTCACCCTACTGGGGGAAAAAAGAAAGAAAAGGAGGTATAGGTGCAGGTATATGCTTGTTGTGAGGCAGGGAAGAAGGCAAGGAAGGAGAGAAACTTGGATGGAATGATAGTGAGAGGTAAAGTTTAAAAATCTTTGGAGAGGAGAAGTTTGAGAGCCTGGAGCACAGTGTCAGAGGTTGGTCAGGAAAGGAAAATATGACAAAACAAGGTGGTTAATGAAAGAGTCTAGGGCTAATTTTGTTAACTGCTCATAAGAGTTTGGGACAGATAGATATGTACATTTGTAGAAAAAGAAGCTGAGACATGGTTGAAGTATGGAGAATTGGGCTTCTGGAGTGCTAAGGAGGTTGTGGGCTCTTTGTTCATATCTGTGTGCAATAGAAGCACAAGGAGAGTTAAATTTAAGAGCAGTACTGGTTGCAAGTTGAGAGGCCTGTGTGAGGACAGGAGTCATTTTTGATGTTGGTATTTGTTAATGGCCAAGCAAGAGAAAATTGGAAAGGGGGGTCATGGGACTTGCAGAGAATAGGGGAGAGGACTGGAGCAGCAGTGACAAGTAAGCAAAAAATGCCAGATTGATGTACAAATGATAAGGGAGAACTAGGAATGCAGAGGTCTGGTGTAAAACCTTGCTAGCAAACCACAAATGGGGACAGCAGCAAGAAGCAATATATACTTTCCCATTGTCTGCTCTTTCACACACTGTAGTTACCTGGAGGAGATGTGTGAAATGCAAGGCCACAGGGCCACCACATGCCCCACCAGACCTCTTCACATGTGTGCTGGTGCTGGTCCAGCATCTCCCACAGCACGTGCGAGAAGAGGAACCCATGGCTGCCTGAGGAATGAGAGGTGTTTCCAGCAGAGTACTGTGGAATGGTACAATCCTTTTTGGCTGTACTGTGAGGCCCAGTTTAAATGGGATCTGGAAAATCATGGACATTTGACATCACACACAATGTAGCCAATTAAAAAGGGGAGATACAAACAATATCCTTCTGTTCCACTGCCTATATTGACCCACTGCCTTTAGTAACTGTAGTGGTTTGAGCCAGGTTTTCCCCCTGAAACTAGGAAAGTGGTAACCCCCAGGGGGTGGTGACCCTTGGGGCTTGACCCAATCAATGCTCCTGCAAAATATAAACATATCTCTGGAGACCGGAAGAGAAGCAGTAGTACTTGTTGTGAGAAGAAGGGTGGCCATGTTGTAGAAGCCACGAAGCAGGGGCTTAGGGCCCCTGGGGGCTTTGCCCCCCCCCAGCCCCCGGTTGGGGGGCTGCAGGGACTCGGAATGGTGTTGAAGCTGGGCTGAGTGCCTGTGGCTAGGAGCTGGGGGAGTTTTCTCCCCTGTAAGCAGAAGTGGGAGACGCTGGGAGCAGCGACGGAGCAGCAGCAGAACGGCAGTGTCCGAAGAGCAGTGGCAAAGAGCCAACTGATAAGAACCAAGAGAAGCAGCAGATGCCGGTATGCAACTGAAGCAGACACAGAGTTGTCTGAAGAAACGAAAAGAGCTAGCAGCAGAAAGCAGGACAAGAGACCCGAGCCAGCAGCAGGAAGAGAGTTTCGGAGGGTAAGAACTGGACAAACCAAAACCCCCAAACTCGCTAGAGACCCCTCCGAGAAAGAGGAGGGGGTGGTGGACTGAGTGGAGTCCTAAAGTGCAGTATGCACTACAGAGAGGAGCTAAGAAGCTCCGGCCTCCTGAGAGCTCAGCCAGGATGGCCAAAGGAATGTGTGTGGAGGGGGTGACCTTGGGTTTCCCCCCCCCTCCTTGCTGCAGCTTCAGAGAAGCTGGCAGCCATCTTTGAGTCAGAGCATGGGAGCTCTGCACAGGGGCTTGATTTCCCCTGAGGATACCAGACTGTCACGAAGACCCCCATGCTTCGTGATATGACCGTGGTGGAACAACCTTGTCTGGGGTTACGTAGTCCACGGAAAGACCCCCGTTTGAGGACGGAGGGCCGAGAGGGGCTTGGAGACCCCCCTCGTGTGTATTGGCAAGGATCCAGCTGCAACTGCTGCCTGAAAGAGAAGAAGAGAGCCTGCTGCCTAGAGAGAGCCTGCTGCTGACAGACTGGAAGGGGTCTTTTCTTCTTCTTCTCTCCTGGACTTTTATTTGGAGGGAGAAGAGATTTGGCCCATTGTAAATATTACTGTCATGGTAGAGATAGATATAGAATTAAGATTGTATACAGTGTATTATAGTATTTATTTATGTGTATAGTCTTTGTAATATATTCCTTCCCCCATATTGTGTCTCGTGTTTTTGTCTGGAAAACCCATCTCACATGGGGTTGAGAATGTGGGAGGGGGGCTAGGAATCAGAATTGGATTTTGGGCCTTGCTGAAACCATGACAGTAACTTACTGTTGCAGTATTCATTATGGTTGTTTACTTTATAACAGATTAATGGATCTAACTTCTGATTCCAGAATGTCTTCCTCACCTTCAGGGTTTTCTACTTGTTGAGAACCTCACTGTTTTTTTGCCAGTTAATTTTTTTTTAAGGAGCAGAAGGTACAACTGATTGTTGAGAACATGTTTTCAGCCTTCCCAACGGATTAATTGATTTGATTTCTGTTTTAAAATAGCAGTTTAAGAGAGCCCTCTGTTATGCTAATATTTTATTTTGCAGAGAAACTGGAAGTCTGGCAAGGTTAATAACATCTTTAAAAGAAAATGTATTTGGAAGTCCTACAGAATTGCTAAAATTAAGTGTTCCATCTTTGGTGTATGCTCTCCAAAACAATATGGCATTTGTGGCTCTTAGCAACTTGGATGCAGCAGTCTACCAGGTAATACACATTTCTGTCAGTAACTGATCTGTAAATACATTTCTCTTTACTGGTTCATGAGGCATGTGTGCCTGGCACACAGTATTCTCTTTAGCCTCACTCTTAAAAGCCAAACCATGCTTTGTTATATTCAGAGAATGCACTCTGCTGTAGAGCTCTGGTTTCCTGAGCTAACCACTTGCTGCTAGAGTCATTTCAAATTCACTTTGTTGTAATTGGCAATGGTACAAAATTAGTACAGCCCCCCAAGCATCTGTAGGAATTCAATGAATATAAAAACTGGTCACTCTTTAGTTAAATTTTCTATTTTATTTCCTTGTTTTGGAGGAGTTTATAAAACCACATCCTCTACACTACGTTCCTGTCTTCTTTAGGTGACATACCAGTTGAAGATCCCTTGTACAGCTTTATGTACAGTCCTGATGCTGAACCGTACCCTCAGTAAGTTGCAGTGGTTCTCTGTGTTCATGCTGTGCGGTGGTGTTACCCTTGTTCAGTGGAAGCCTGCTCAGGCTACAAAAGTACAGGTAAGAGTTTGTATTTTGCCTCATCAGATAAAGAATAAACTTCCTCTGTACCTTGTATTTCACTTTACAGCAGCTGGGATAAAGGTAGAGTTTCTTGCATTCCACACAGCAGTATCTGTTTCCTATTTCCAGCCACTTCAGGTACAACATATCCACTAGTTTGATCACTGACTTTCACATTTATGGTGTGCCAGTTCAGGCAGGCTTGTGGGATTGCTCTGGTCTCACTAGTTGGAAAGGCAACTGATTGCTACAATTAGTATTAATTACCACAGTCATCATAATCAGTCTAATGCACCGTCCTAGGAGTGTCTAAGTAATAGATTGTTTCCAGCAGTTGGCCCTGGTAACATTGTAATTGTTGGAGCAGAGAACTTGGAACCAAAGCACTGGGCGGAATTAGGAGGAAAACTCCAGTGCTGTGTGGGTATGTCATTTAAACACACCCTTCAGAGGCACTGACCTAATCCTGTTCTGGGAAGAAACAAGTATGTCCTGTTTGTTTGGCATTAGTGGGAAAGGCAGGTTATGCTGCTGGGAATATTGGCCACAGTTGAGTAGAGAGTGCCTCTGAGCACTGCAAGAGTACCCACAGAAAATGAAATGCCACACAGCTGCGCCGAGGTCCTCTGAAGGACAGCTCGATAAGCAAGTACATCTTATACTGCAGTGAAATGCTAATAGTTTTGCTGTACCTAACAATGTAGCTCTGTGTCCTGCTTTCGGCTGGGATACAGTTAATTTTCTTCCTAGCAGCTGGTTCAATGCTGTGTTTTGGATTTAGTATGAGAATCATGCTGGTAGCACACTGATATTCCTGTTGTGTGTAAGTAGTTCTTACCCAAAGTCAAGGACATTTCAGTATCTCCTGCTCTGCCAGTGAGCAGGGACACAAGAAGCTGTGAAGGACAATGGCCAGGACAGCCGACCTGAACTGCCCAAAGGGCTATTCCGTACCATGAAGCCTCATGCCCAGTATATAAACCGAAGGACTTGTCCAGTAGGGGCCAATTGCTGCTTGGGATGGCCTGGGGATTGGTCAGGAGATGATGAGTATTTGTCTTGTGCACCACTTGGTTTCCTTGGGTTTTACATCTCTCTCTCATTTTGTTGCTATTAGAATTATAACTATATTTTATTTTTATATAATTATTAAACTGTTCTTATATCAACCCACAAAGTTTACCTTTGGTTTTCAATTCTCCTCCCCACCATGATGGTTTGGGGGAATTAGTGGGGGGGCTACATGGTGCTTAGTTGCTGGCTGGAGCTAAACCATGGCACCCTGGAATCGATTATTGTAAATTACTGAAGTGTTGTATCCTTTTTAAAATAATGGTTGATGTTGCAGGTGGAGCAGAATCCATGGCTAGGGTTCGGAGCGATTGCTGTGGCTGTATTGTGTTCAGGATTTGCAGGTATAGTATTATTTCTGTACCTGAGTTACATCAAAAGGACTGGAGAACTCACAAGGTTCAAAACAGAACATTCTATGTTCGTTAACTGTCTTTGTGGATTAGTTTGCCCTCTCTGCCCATAATTATCTTCTGCTTGCAGTAGTTGTGGCAGATTCATGACATGATTATTCTCGGTGGCAAGCAAATGACTAAGAATATGTACTATTGGTTTTACATGATACAACTGAGAAAGCTGGTTTGCAAGTGAAAGTGTCTTTCAAATGCTTAGAATAACACTGTAGGGAACAACCATAATGACTCTGTACAATTAATTGATGTTTGCTTTACAATGAATAGCTCCCTTATGGTGATCACACAAAATACTTGCATTTTTTTTACAAGGGGAACTGAGCTCCTCACTCAGTTCTTGCACCAGCTCAGCCTCAAAATAAACTTTGCCATAGTCCTGTAGGTGGTAAATCTAACTGAGATGCAGAGGGAGCATGAGTAAGGCAGAGAGGTAGATGAGTAGCAGGAAGCCTGGATAAACTCCGTGAAGGATTTTGGTTTTCTTTATTTTTGTTTTGTTCTACAACCAGCGTTTCCCCTCAGGGTAGCTTTTTCTCTGGCTTCTGGAAAAAGATACCAAAACTTGAGAACAAGTGAGCTGGTGCTCAGAAACAAGGAAATGCAAATTGCTACTTAATTTGACAATTGACTTACAGGGGCATATTTCACTGGCTGTAAATTGGATCCTCCCCTCTCCCTCTGTAAGGAAGCAAGGTACTATTACCCACCTCTAGTACTGTAAAATCCTGCAAGAATAATCTTGTGCTGTGCATAAATGCTCATTACTCGAGGAAAACATTCTGGTTGGCAGAAGGAGTAGAGAATCATTTTTGTTTGGTGTCTTTTCACTGAAACGGACACTTTGAAGCAGAAATACTAAATAAAACTGTGTAGAGATCAATCAACTTTTCCTGGAAAGTTATAAATTTCCTCATTTAAATAGATGCTTCCAAGCCACAAGACAATACAGCATTCACAGTGGAGCCTTCAGAGTCTCCTAAAGCTCTCTCGCTTTCTCCGATAACGCGGGTCAACAGCTGTGCTTCTAGAGGTCTGCAAATTCAGAGCATTGAAAGGCTGATGCAGGCAGCTTGAGACACTCAGGGCTTTCTTCTGCAAAGGGATTGCAGCCTGGGTGTTTCCTTGCTGACAGCTGAAGCTCAGGGGCAGCTGGGAGGAACAGTGTATTTCATCCACAGAGCTCCCTGTGCCCTTGGGGCTTTATATGTTGAAAACATAAATCCTATTCAAATTCTTTTCCTCTTCTTCCTTCCCACGCTCACATGAAGCAGTTCTTTTGGCATTAGGCCTTCAGTTTCTGGCCTGACCATGTTAACTGGTTTTTATTATTCCAGCAAAATCAAAAAAAGTTGTGTAGTTTTGTCCCTCAGAGATGGAAGAGAAGTTTTTCCTTCAAATTGTTGATCCTGTGATAATTTCCAAGTATCTGGGGCACCAACAATGCTTATAACAGCATTGGACAGATATTTAATGGCAAATCCTTTGTGATTAAAACAGTACTGAAGAGTTAATTTCTCCTAAACAACCCCCATTCTTTCCTTCATCTTGCCTACTGGAGTGAATTTAGTGTATATGCAGAAATCTGAAAGCATAGTTTATTGGCTTGCTTACTGTTTTCTTAGTTTAGAAATTTTACAAGTATGGTTCATACTCAAGCCAAATTTCTGTTACATTGATTATACCTGATTGTACTCTGTGGGTCTTCTCAGTGTGGCAGAAATCTCAGGATAATTATTGTGGGTTTTTTTAAGGACTGCAGTTATTAACAATACTAGTTTGTTGTTTCAAAAATTTATATTCTTATGAGATAATATCATATTTCCTTGGGATTTTTATTATTTGAACCCCTGAAATATAGATCTGCTCTCTAATTTATTCACCATAAATATTCACTATACTGTATTAAATTATAAATTGTATTTTTCATTAATAAAATCAAATAGCAAGACTTGAAGCTAACTTGGGGTTTTAGGGCGAGTGTGTGCCTAGGGCTTCTAACTAATAAGTCTTTGTGCCACCTTTGTTTGTTCCATATTCTTGTCTCATATTGTATGAAGGATCCTGGGTGACATTGATAGCAGTAAATTTTTAGTCAGTAGGGCTCTCACCAAAAGGTCATGGAACTGGCTGAGAAGATCCGAGTCCTGTGAACTGCTCTGTCTGTTTTGAAATGTGGAGGAAGTTCCAGAGATTCACAGAGCTCTGGTGGGTGAACAGTGGTTAAAAAAGCAGGTAGTGATGGCCTTGTCAAATGTCGGCCTTTTAGTCTGACACAGTGGAATAATGAAAAAGCATTTGAGGAATTTCAATAATGCAAAACATAAAAATAATAGTATCATCAGCCTGGTATCGTGAACCAGGGCTTTATATTAAAATGAATTCCACTTCCTCAAAACCACTTTGTAGTTTCAGTTAGCAGAAGGCCTCAGTTTTGATTTGCTCTTGTAACCCCCTGAAGCTATGGTTTCAGAACAACGCTGCTTTGCCAAGTGCTCTGGAAGCACAAGGCTTCTGAGGAATTTCCAGTTTCGGCACCGAGGTAATATAGCCCCTCCTTCCCGTTTCAGTTTTTTCCTGCATGAGTGATTTAGGTTGCTCAAAGAATCACTGGCAACGATATCAGTAAAAGCAAGTTTAACAGAAAAGTAAAAGCGCGACAAATTTTGTTGGCAAGGCTTACTCTACTGCATACTAGGTGGTTAAAGCACACAGAGAAAAACTGGACTAAATTCTAAAATCAATCAATCTGAAACTAAAATCAAGCTAAAATTATCCACATGGAAACTGGGGATGGAAAAAAGGTAAAGAAGGGAAAGTGTAAGGATAAAAAGGAATGAGGGACACCCTCCTGTTGGGTCACAAGGTTCAAAGTGTACCCCTTGCCAAACTTAGCCCCAGATTTGACTAATGGTTTAGGCCTAAAGGTTTTAACTGCATTTAAAATTTACGGCCTAAACGATTTAACAACAGGTTGTATAGAATTAACTATAAGCACAACAGTAACTCACTTATAGGCCTAACTTGCTTACAAATCTAAAGTACTTGAGATTCTAAGAAAGCAACATTCATAGTACATTTACTATAGGATATTCACACTCATACAGACCTAAAGGAATTTGTACAAGGTATTCACCTGTGAAAAAATTTCCCTTTGGTTCAGTGAAGTACTCACATTGGATGCCTTTGCATCTTCTCAGCAGGCGAAGGGTTGAGCCTCGAGGAGTGGGGGTATCAGCCCAGGATCCATCATTGGCATTCGGCGATAGTCCTGCCAGTATGGCAAATGTGGGAGTTTGGTAGCTCTGAAAGGTGTCCTGCTCAGAGGGAGGTTGCTGTGCTCTAAGATTGCTCCAAGTTTCCAAGGCTGTTCATTAAAAAACAGATACTTGTTAGACAGCACTAGTCCCTGGGAACAGACAGTGTTTCTGATAAGCTCAAGAGGAGCTCAGCTCAGGTGCTGTTCATCAAGGCCAAGGCCTAACAAGCATTTCTGAGATCATAGTGTAGCCCTGGCATGGGGGATGGGGAGTGTTTTACCACCACACTGCAAAGTATCCCAGTGGAGAGGAAAAAAAGTTCTCCATCTTACTGAAACACACAGATATTTTATCCCATTATTATTATTTTATCTCATTATTAAAATAATGAGTGCCAAGGTGAAATGCTTTTTTCAGGTATAGAATTGTGCAGAAGAAACTGCTGGCCAGAAGCCTGGCACATCAAACAGAAATGAGTAGTGGCCTCAGTGGTCCATAAGGTTCATTGTTACATCTGTAAAGAGAAACAGAATCTATTTTTGGCGTTACATACCCATTATAATGATCCTGTTATAGAAGACAGATTTTAGCAGGATGTGTTGGGTCCTTGGCACTGGGAACTTCTGTGAAACTCATCAGTCTGTAGAACAAGTTGATTCCAGTAGTCTTGTCTGGTTTTAAAATGTACTAAAGCACAAATAATTAAGGATGACACTTGGTCTCATTGAATTGTTTTTGCTTTTTGTTTGGGTTTTTTTCCAGGAGTTTATTTTGAGAAGGTCTTAAAGAGTTCAGATACTTCCTTGTGGGTGAGGAACATTCAGCTATACTTATCTGGGATTGTGGTAACTTTAGTCGGTGTGTACATGTCAGATGGAGCCCAAGTTATGGAGAAAGGATTTTTCTATGGCTATACATACTACGTCTGGTTTGTCATCTGTAAGTATCTTGTGCTTTTAGAATCTTGATACACTGTTTTTCTTTTTCAACAATGATATAACCAATTACAGGAAGCTACAAATTCAGTCTGACACACTCTCTACTGTGTTTCGAGGGATTTTATTTAAAAGTATAATTTTCTTGGAAATTATTCACTTAGCTTAAAATTATGCTGAAAGAGCAGTCTAAATAACTGATTAGCGGTAGATCATCTTTAAATGAGTCATGTCTGATTTACTGGATGCCATGTAGACATCCCATTCCACTGCATTAAATCACCAGTTAGGAGAATGTAGCCCAAACAAAAAGAGCACACTGGTGAAGTAAAATGCATAATTTCAAGAGTGACCTACTGCACCTGTACTAATAGTAACACATTATCTGCTTCCCAGTTCTTGCCAGTGTAGGTGGCATCTACACTTCGGTGGTGGTTAAGTACACAGATAACATTATGAAAGGCTTTTCTGCAGCAGCAGCCATTGTTCTCTCTACTGTGGCATCAGTCATCCTCTTTGGCCTCCAGATAAGTAAGTGCATTTTTGCCTTTGATTTGACAGCTTGTGCATGTTTCCTGCCTGCCCAGCCCACTGTGCACAGTTCATTCTAAAGCCAGTGTTTTTGCCTCCTCTGAGTTTTTCTGGTTTTAACTTCCAAGTCTTTTCCAGGACACCTCTACACTAATGCACTATCATCCCTGTTCCATTGCACAGGATGCCTGATGATCCTATACTTCCGAAGGCATTCATGGTTTATTCTTTTGGAGGCAGCTACAATTTCAGACAAAGTTTCTTTCTAGTTTAAAGAGCTTTATTGATGCATCACTTTGTGATGCAGTTTAATGTGTGATATAGCTGTTTACCTGGGACTGCTGTTGCTAAGTTATCATTTCTTGTTGGGTTTAGTACAGCCACTGCCAAATTAGTTCCTCAGCTCTTTCTTCAAGTGCTTTATACATCCCTGTTAAGTTACACCCACTACTGGGTTAACTTTTACCTTCCCCATTTGCTGTGGACACCACCATATGAGAGCAAGTCAAGCAGCAGCTGGAGTTGTGACTGATGTGGTGAATTTTTTGTGAGAGGAAACAGCAGATTGCTCTGGGCTGTTCTGCAACTACAAAGGATTTTCTCCCCGATCAAGTCTCTGTCTGGTACTGTGCCCACTATCTCCCACTCAGTCCTTCACTGTTTAGTTGTGGGTATTGCTTAGTTTTTCTACCTTAATGCAAAGATGATGTGGCAATATAGTGGAAAAACTAGCTTTCTGATGTAGAATTAGTGAGACAAAACTTAAGGAAAGCTTGCATAAGGAGGAAACCATTAGTGTTTGGCTGAAAAAGAGCACAATAAAGCAAGGGAGGGAAAAAAAACCCCACCTAGTTTTAAAAGCTTACTTGGGCAGAGCATTTTCTTGATGGTTGACACAAATCAAACCTGGACTACTGACCTTTCTGTGAAAGTCTCATTAAAAGTGTTTCTTAACCCCATCTAAATCACAGAATTACAGAATATGCTGAGTTGGAAGGGACCCACAAGGATCATCAAGTCCAACTCCTAGTCCTGTACAGGACCATCCCCAAGAGCATTGTCCAAATGGCTCTTGAACTCTGTCAGGCTTGGTGCTGTGAACACTTCCTTCGGGAACCTGTTCCAGTACCCAACCACCCTCTGGGTGAAGAACCTCTTTCTAGTATCCAACTTAAACCTCCTCTAACACAACTTCAGGCCATTCCCTTGGGTCCTGTCACTGGTCACCTCAGAGAAGAGATCAGTGTCTGCCCCTCTTCTTCCCCTCATGAGGAAGTTGTAGACTGGCAATGAGGTCTCCCGTCAATCTCTTCTTCTCCAGGCTGAACAGACCAAGTGACCTCAGCCACTTCTCATACAGCTTCCTCTCAAGGCCCTTCACCATCTTCGTTACCCTCCATTGGACACTCTCCAATAGCTTAATATCTTTCTTATATTGTGGTGACCAAAACCGAACACAATATTCACGGTGAGGCCTCACCAGTGCAGAGCAGAGTGGGACAGTCACCTTCCTTGACTGGCTGGTGATGCTTTGCCTGATGTGGAGAGGCAAATAAGATGTGTTATCACAGGCTACTTTATCACATCCACTGTTTTTTTATCACTAAGTTTATTGTAACATAAGCCTGTCCAGGTAGCACCTGGAACTGCAGGAGATGCTTCACTCTTGCTTTTATGACCATCACTATGTTCTTGCTGATATGAGACTAATTGGAATGGTGTGGGGATTGTAAACAGTCAGAGTTCCCAGTGACAGAGGATAAAGCTAGATGCTGTGTATTAATAGCTTGTTGTTCTGTTTAGAGTAACTTCAATACTGTCATTCAGATATCGTCATAACTTACATAGCTTGCTGAAGGTTTCTGCTTATATGAATGTGTTTATTTAAACTATTTTGTCTCCTTTCAGCTGCTACCTTCTCCCTGGGTGCTCTCCTGGTGTGTATTTCTATTTACCTCCATGGATTACCTCGACAAGACACCACAAAAATCCAGACCTCAGAGATTAAGAGCTCAAAAGAAAGACTTGCTACTGTGTGACATTGTCCATAAAAATGGACAAAAGAAAAAACAGACTTTAAAAAAACCTTGACTTTTTTTAAAAATTAGCCTTAAGCTAGTCATGAAATGGTTTAAGTGGGACACACTAAAAGCAGAAGTTTTATATGAAGTTTCCAGTGGTTGACGCTGAGGCTACACTGCACCTGAGGAGCTACCTGGGTGTTTTATGGAAGGTATTCTTCATTCACATCAACAATGAAGAGTCTCACTTACAAGGAAAACTCAATGAAGGAGCTGATCACTCAATTGTATATAATGTTTATAATGGAGGCAAATTGGTTCTTTGTGCATTTGATAAACTGTCTTGCCCTTCGAGGGCAGAAATGCCTGAAAGCTTCATAAAAAAAACTATTAAAAAGAGCAATTACTGCCAGCATTTTCTCTTAAAATACTTGGCAACTGTAGTTTGATTCATGACAGGAAAAGTTTTTCTTCTAGGTGATAGGTACGAGACAACACAACTCTACTGGGAATAACCATGCTGTGAGATCACTTACCTAGGAGTGATTAGAGGTAGCACGTGCTGTATGGTTTATAAAGTCAGAATGAAAGACAGGTGTTTCTCTGAAGTTGTGGATTTCCTTTCACTTTTCAAATGTTTTTTATACCTGCTGTAGCTCGTAGAGGGATCTTCTATGTGTTGTACAGGGGAAAGTTTGCATGTATTCCTGTATTTCTGGCTTAAGTATGAATGAGTCAAAAGATTTTTGTCAGTACGTTTTCTCTCTAAACATTTCTGTGCACACAGTGATGCTTGAAAAGAGTTCCTGTAATGCATGTTAGGCTTTGAGTTAATTTATTATTGCCAACCATATAATTTCAACCTCCTCCCTCTGTTTCTGAGGCCATCCAGAAACTGCAATTCTACAGTGAGGGAAAAAATGACTTTGGTGCATTTGGGCAGCTTGTTTTCATTCATAGTGGAGTCAAAATGTGACCAAGTTTATACTCTTGGCTAGATTCCTTCAGATATGAGTTAACCAGCTGGGTTTTATTTGAAAGTGGGGCACGTTAAACACAGCAGTAACAAACATGCTTAAATTCTGTTCCAGTGGGAGAAGATGCTCCCCTCTGCCTTTTGCCAACTGGTCCATGTGCTAGAGCAGCCACCACAGTGCCACTCCTGGGAAGTCGAGGCTTCCGTGGTGGAGGGTATTGCCAGCCAGCTGCAGTGCCTCACAGGTGCTGCTCCCCCTCTCTCCAGCATTGTGATGGCTCAGGGACGTCAAGTAGCACCTGCCACGCCTGACTGTGGGTAGGGTGCAGAGGGAACACTGTACTTCCTGCTCCACCAGCTGTGCAGCCATCTCTGCTCCCCGGCCATCACGTCAGTGTGACAGAGGAAGGGGTGAGGAACAGGGTGTGACAGCTGGCAGTTGGGCTTGGCTGAAGGGAGAATGCAGTACTTCACACTGGAAAAGAGCTCTGCATGACCTGACTAGCTCAGTTTGTTACAATAGATAGAGCACCTGGAGCCTTTGTGCCATCAGGCCTTAGTACACAATGGCAACCGCAGGAGGGGAGAACTTTGCTTAGGGCAGCACAGTTAATACCACTTCCTCTACCAAAAGGATGTTATATTTACATGGCAAATACAGAGCAGTTCTCTTTTATGGGAAATACCAGGTAGACCTGAGTCTTAAGTACACTGCTCCACCAAGTGCCTGGGAGAAAGTGATTGTGGCAGCCTTACCCCTCCCAGATGGCTGTGCCATGCCTGCTCTTCTGCAGTTGGTATGAAGGAGCACAAACCTCTAAGCACAGATGGTGCTTCCAGCCTGCATTAGCAGTGACACGCAGTATTCATATTATCTGGGGAAAAAAAAATTTTACTACGAGATGTGACTTTACATTGCATACAGCCTCATTACATTTGAGTCACAGGTGTAATGCCAAGAAGTTTCATTCCGTTGGCTAGAACCGAGCGTGCAGCTTGAAAGAGACAGAGCCTTGCCTGGAAAACAAAAGAAGAGTCATCTTAGGGTAGTGCTACAGAATAGGGTGTGATTCTCAGAACAGTGTGCATCCTCTGTCCCCACACTGGGATTCAGACCTACACATAACCCCAAGTACTGAGAAACACACCAATGCTGGCAGCATTTACACCAGCTGTTGTTAGCCCATTGCAGTGTCAACAAGAGGGACACTTAGTCAAACAAAGGAAGCTGGAAAGGCATGTTTAGCCAAGCCCTCTGGGCATAACAAGCAGAGATGCCTGTGGAAGAGCTAGCAATGACTAAAAAGTGAAAATCTTTCATGCACCAGGGGCTGGTACAGCCCTGAGGGTACTGTTGGAATTCCCTCCCCTTGCCCTGCCTGGGTTAGAGGTTGTCAAGCAACTATGGGCTGCTTTGAAAATTTCACTCTTCCTTGTCAATGTCTTGGCTGCTACACAGCTGGCTGTTTGCTCCAAAAAACATAGTTCTTGAAAGCTGTCACATTGTAAGATATTTAGAAAAATTTTTTTTTTTACAAGATAAGGAACTTAAGTTTTCCTTGTAGCTTGGACTGTCTTAGTCCATCTCCAAAGGCAGGAATAACTACAGCATCTAAGCTCAAATACAGACTGCAGCTCCATCAATTCCACTGAATGTTTTTCCCCCACAGCATAGCTCAACACTTAAGTGTGATTTACTGCCAAAATCAAATAAGTAGTTGCTTTTGAAATAGATGAAAGAAAGTAAGAAAGGCAGTGTAATTAGTGTATCATTTATTGAGCATTTAGGGGGTCAAACACTGGGAGATCAGTAGAAAATAATTTGCATTCATTTGGGACTGCAGATTAAAAGTTGTCAGCCTCTAGCTTTAGCTAGAAAGGCAATACGGACAACTTGGGATATGGAGGTGGCAAGAGGGAGGAGACGGATTTAGTTCTCTCAGAATTCTCTGTCTTCCCACATAACCACTAAAGGAAACCATCAAAAATTAACCAGCAAGTTTAATGTTTACTCTTAAAACATTCAAAAGGAAAGGTGACGAGAAGGAGTTTGACTGGATTTGGAGCAGTTGTCGTTAGGGAGCATTGCATTGTGTTTTGGGAGGATTAAGCAGAGCAGCCATTTCCAGAAGGCACAGCTGTGAAGAGCAATCCATGCCTTCCCAAAGCAGTGCCACCCATGGGAGAGCCTCCCTGTCAGCTCCTCTGCCTGCGGGTGTGTATTCATGCAAGTGGTTACACAGCTGGGTTGGCAAAGCCAGAATCCTTCCTCTGGGACACCCTACACGGACTCCAGCCACCTAAGATGCTGTACCATACCTGTGCTACTTCAGGGGTGCTGCCTCTCACAGGAAGGGTTTTGTGTGCCACGGCTGCAAGATGGCTGGAACGGAAAACACAGAGACAATGGTGAGAACCAGCAAGTCGCTCTGGGATACAGAAAGCAGCAGAACTGGAAGGGCCACCCACAACTGCAGCATGCCAGAGGCTGATTTACAACAGCCTCTCACCTGGCTCAAGGAAGGCATGATTTTCTATAGCCTGCATGGTGTCAGGGCATGCCATTAACAACTTATTGCTCCTAAAATAACCCAAAACAATCTCTCTGCTACCTGCCCATTAAAAAACCAAAACCATCCTCAAAACTGCTCTGGGAAATCCTTGAGATTCTACCCTGGCATTCCCAAGGTGTGTGATTCCTTATACAATTTTTCTTAATTTGTTAAAGCCTTCCCCATACACAGGCTCTACATCTTCCTCCACCAAACCTATTCTTCCGTTTCACGGTGCTGTCAAATCAGACAGGTCCCTATGGGAGTCACATACACAGTATGACTTACAGAAATAAGCTTTGTTCGTTGGCTGAGATAGTGGTTAAAAATGGTTTGGACAAAGTTCCCTAGCTGAAATTTTGATATTTGAGAGGATGTTATCAGCTTAAATCTCCTTAAGATTTCATTAGTCCAGCATGATTTTGGTTCTGACACTGGGTTACAGCCAAGCGACTCTTTTTTCTTAAAAGCAGTTAGTTTCTGAGAAGCCCTCTGGCTTCAGCCTTGATCTCTACTATTTATTATATTATTTGCTATCGTACTTTACTTTATACATTTCCTGCTTCAGGGAAACCATCCCACAAATTTGCATCTTCCCACTATTTTTACTCTTCAAAGCAGTGCAGATGTGAGGGCTGCAGAGCCAGCTCAGGAAGATCTGTCCTTACTGGAGACGCCGCCAGTATCAGCCATCACCTTACCTAAGTGTGAGGAGGTAGCTGACAATGTGCTTGGGTTGCAGATCCTGAGAAGATCTATACAGGACCTCATCGTACCTGTGAAGGAAGAAAAGGATTGTTTGGTGCTGGAGTAGTAGAGGGTGTGCTCAGATATAAGGCTCATCAGACTTGCTTAAGTCAGAGCAAGCACACAACCACAGCTGTAGAATTAGCAAAACTGATCTTCTGAACCAGACCTAAGCCATGTCTTTAGCACACAACTCATTATTCCTTCCTCGTTCACTTGTTATTGAAGGAGATTGCTTCTGCTCCTCATCATGCAAACACCGTAGATGGCAGAGCTCAGAGAGGCAGGCTACCCAAGAGAACACAAGAGCTCCTGGAACATTATGTCTGGTTTTACATCTCAACACTAATTGTAAGTTCCTAGGAGCAAAAAACGTGTTAAATAACCAAAAGAGCCAAAATAGTCTCTTAGAGGGTCTTGCCTTTAGTAAATGCAGCTTAGACTTTTAAGTAGCTAAAGGGAATCTTGTAACATTAAAAGAAGACAAAAACAATGTGATTTTACATAATCCTGGAATACAGATTCCCACAGAATCACAGATCGAGTCAGGTTGGAAGGGACCACAGTGGGTCATCTGGTCCAACCTCCCCACTCAAAAACCATCATCCTACATAACTTATACAATAGTTGACTTTGTAAGACAGTATTAAACTGGGCAGTACAGGCAAAGTCATGAAATCTGTGTTTTTATTTCATGTGTTCTGCTTTCCTTTTTCACAGAAGGTACCAACACCTCTGGGGCTGAAGAGATTTCAAAGTGGGGAGTGGACTTCCTAATCTTTGCTCAGCTCCCAGGCCCATCCCTGCCAGCATGTCCAAGCTGAACTGCCCTGGGATCTTCCCCCTTTAAAGACAAGCTGCAGAACTGGGAAGTGCGCTCCAATAACAAGGGCTCAGCAGTCACGTAAGAGCCATAGCACCAGGGAGGGAGCGCTCCTCATCTCATGGGTGAGTAAGCCACAAAAACACCTCTTACATGTGCACTCAGCAGCTGATCTTAGCCAGCATGCCCCAGGTGGTCACTGCTGGGGAAAATCGCTGCCCTCGTACACTGTGCCACTGACGTGAGCGAGATAGAACCAGGGGAACCTCCGCACGGTCTCAGGGCCAGCACAGACACCAGCAGCTGTTGGTCCCTCAGAGGCAGCAACATGGGTACAAGGAAATTACTACTAACAAGCACCATCAAACAGCCATTGATAAAAGCTTCATGAAGCAACAAAGTTGGTACCAAATAAAGGGCCCTGATTTGATACCAGCTTTTTTGCTTTGGGAAGCTGCCATTTCAGTATTGGCCTACACCAACTTGCTAAGATTATTTTATCAGTCAAGTAAGTCTGCTTTTGCAGGGTTATACATAGAATCATAGAATGGCTTGGCGGAGATCTTAAAGATTCTCTAGTTCCAAACCCCCTGCCAGGTCTGGTTTTGGCAGGTTACTCAGAGCCTGGACTAGTGGAAGGTTCCATCTTCTATCTGCTACCTTCAGTCCACTATTCATTAGACTGCAAAGTTACTGGTATTCAGCTATTTTCAGGCAAATGTTTGATATATTTTCAAACAGCAGAAACAGAGCCTTCTGACAGGCTTTTGAGAACTCAGAAGGGTTTATTATGAAACTTTTCAAGAAGCATTGAGTCATGGCAACTCAGAAGGAGTACTGAACAGTAATTGTTACTCCTGAAACTGTGGAATATTTTAAGATGAGTTTGTTAGCCCTTGAGTGCCTGGTCTAATAGATAACCTAAATACTGCTTTCTGCTAGAAGTAAAGGCCCCTGGAGATGCTTCACAGAGATTCCGTATGGTACTGGGCCAGGCTCAAAGACCTTCACAATGAGCAGACCTGAAGTTCAATAAAATCAAGAGCCCTGCAGTGGATCAACAACTTTTGTCTGAAAATTGATGCAAGTCTGCAATGCAGTGATCCCTGCACATAACCCTGTCCGTTTTCACACATAAGACAGGCAGCTATACACTAATCTGATAAACCCCAAGAAATGACCCTCATGTTTTCCATGAAATACAGTGCCACAGGATAAATAACACACTACTGGTCTTATTTAGAGTGCTGGCTGGTCCTGTTGCTCAAGAGAACGTGCAGCATATGATGAACTTCAGGCAGACCTCTTGAGGCAATTACAGTTAATGATAGGACTCTACAGGCTACAGGCTGAAAGGAACCACCTGGGACACTAGCATGACTTTTTAAAGTCCAGATTTTAAACAGATGCCCTCAAGAAGGTCTTAGTATGGTCAAAAGAGTTAACTCTGGCACTGCACAGTGTGCAGTACAGTATATAGGACCTCTGTCAGAGACTGAAATGGTTAATGACTTATGCATTCCAGGAGTTTGCAGGCTTTTGACTTTTGCCTTACACCTCTGATGGGCAATTGGGTCCATCCTCCCCCTCTGCCAATCTTGAAAGGTGGGAACCAGGCCAGACTCAGAAACTCTGCGCAGGCCCAGGGAGAGGTTGGAGGCTCGAGACATGGCCTGTGACACCAACCATGGATGTATTAACTCATAACTTCTTGGAGTGTGAGGGCTTCCCTCCTTCACCCCCAGCAGATCAAGGCCACCACTTCAACTGACAGACATGGAAGCTGCAACTACCAAGTGTCATCGCTGGACCCCGTGAGGGGTGACTATATGCATCTTTCCACTCTCATATTTTCTTTCCCTTACTCTCCCTTACCCTTATCCTGTCTTTCCTTTCTCTCCCGTATGCATTTCCCCCCCCCCCGAAGTTATCCCTATGCCATATTGCTATAAATGATATAGATGACAACACCCAAAATGCTAGCATGCCTGTTGATACAAGATTGTTAAAATAAACCTTACCAATATATGTTTGCAGACACTGATTATTTAGTGTCGTTTCACTCTAATCCACCCCAAGGGAATTATTGATAAAAACCTGAGTTACCCCCCTCCCCTTTTCCTGGGGTGGGTCGTAACAACCTCTCACTAGGAATTCTGAAAGCTTCAGTTACTTCTGACTCCATCACATGCTGTGCAACATGGACAACTCCCTTGTTTCTGTATTTTAACTGCACATCTATGAAATAATAAAAACAGAAAAAGCTCAACTTTAAGACTGAATTAATGAAGAACATTACTGCTATTAACAGGTATTAGTTGTGCACATTCAGTAGCTCTGAAGGATGCTGAGCTACTGGATGTGCATGCACATACTCCGTTTCACCTCACCCAGGAGCACTTCCTCTTTCTTTTCCCACATGACAAAAACAGAATACAAGGGACCAACCAAATCTGCAGTTAATATTTATGTAGAGCCTAGCATACTTTTGTGAAGACAAGAAAGAATTAAGAGGATCGCGTACACAGAGTATGTTCCAAATACAGCTTTTTCTGTCATATGGCTTCTAAAGCCACAAAAATTTCCAAGTGAGGGCTACTGTTGCAATCAGTGGGGCACAACAGACAAGTCATTGCCTGAAATAGCCATTTTTTCTTATGATCACGCAGTCTGTGCCTTCTCAACAGGTTGGCGGCATATCCAAAAGTTTAAGAGAATTGCTATTTGGAAAGAAAACTAGACAAACCTGAGAAGATGCTGAAGAACAGAGATGGCCTCTGGCTCTTGCAAGCATGCCACGTTAACATCAGTTAGCTGTGCGTTCCCATGCATCCGTTCTAAACTACGGTGTAAGAATGGAAAACAAATGTTGGGATGAAAACCTCCTGTTAGCAAAGCTGAACAAGAAAAACAGTCATTTGTGTTTTTAAGAAAAAGCGTAGGCTCCTTCTGCTCAAGATGAATGGAACACTGAGACAGACTAGCTGACTTCAACTCAAGACAAAAAAATATAAAAATTGTGCTAACCATTCAGTATCAACAGGATTAGACATATGCATGGACAACAGGTCCAGAAGCTGATGCTAAAAGGACTAGAGAGGTAGTCAATACCCCACTAATGGTACCTTGACACCACCAATACCTAGATGATGAGGGAATACAAGGGGAACAGACTACAGAAAGGGATCAGGCTTGCACACTCTCCCTGAGCACCACCTCCTGCTAGCATTGCCTCAGACAGAACACCAGGGTGGTACAGACCTTTGGCCTGATCCAGGAAAGGGTCTTACATGAAAATACATACCGATTTCTGCATTAAGAATGCTGACAGTTCATTATAATTGATAAAAGTGCTCAAACTTGCCTCTTCTGAATCTCTTTTAAAGAAGTAATTCAATGTGTTAGGTGTTTGTCCTGAGTCAACAGGAAGGGATCTGCTTTTAACCTTAGGTTACCAACAGTGGGAAATAAAAGAATGTCAAAAAAACCCCACTAGCTACTGTGGTAGCCAAAAGTTCTGTGATGTGGTATATTTTACAAGTATGTGCATTTTGGTTTTTATGTCAGTTTCCCTAATCCTAGGGCTACCATTCCTCATCACTGACACCAACTGCAGAGAGGATGTTCCTAGAACTGGGAAAGTACATAGACAGGCAGCTCAGTTCTGTGGAAATGAGGTAGAAAATTCATTTTAATTGGCTTGCTCTTCTGGGAAGTTTCGATGATTCCTATCATAAACTCACACCTCTGCTGAAAAAGTGAACATGTGTCATATTTAAGGAAGGAGTTAACACTACTATTTAACAAAGCAGTAAGTTAATAAGGTTAAAATTCATGTAAAACTGTACTTTTGTGCATAAACACTAACTTACCTATGGAGTCTGGCATGGGTGTACTGCAAGAACACACCTGTATCTCCACGACTTTGAAGAGCTCGATCCCAGCTAAACTGATAATCAGACGAGAGAAGGCCCCGGAAGTCCTGGAACAATAGATCATTGTCACCTAGATAAGGCTCTTCATCTCAGTTTTTAACTTTTCACAGAAGATGCAAACAGGTCATGAGGCAGTTCAGACTCACCTGAATTATTAGTGCTGCAAGACCAACCTTCTCTGCTGTCTCCATAGGGTCTTGTATCTCTTTGGTTGCTGAAGAGAAACAAGCAATAGTTAAGTCTGCAGTAGCATAATGACTCCCTTGCTCAGACTTGGAGATGCCAATAAAATAGCAGATCTTCCAAAACCCTAAACTAGCAAAATGAAATTGTCAGGATGCATGCAGCAACAAGTCCAGAATATAAACCTTTCTTAAAAGCTGAAATACAGCTGTTTCAGATGGGCTTTTCCCCACTTCCCCTAGTATGTATAACACGGATATTGAGGTCAGAAAGGTTCATTACAACAGGATAGCGAGACTACCCTGAATTCCTCTTCACAGTTCTGACAGCCAGTCTCTAAGTTCAGGAAGAGAATGAGAGGGCAATTCAGATTTTGTTGGAAAACTGATAAACTACAAGTGATACAGGTGTATAAACAACGAAAAAAAAGTTGTTCCAATGGTTAATGGAGCATTTGGATATACGTTCAGGGAGTAGTCACACCATCCACTAAAGAAGATACCTAAATTGACTATACTCAGAGAATCTGAACTGAGAGAATTACAGAATGACTGGGGTTGGAAGGGCCATTTAAAGATCATTCCAGTCCAACCCTGGACTGTGACGTACTCAATACCCCACTAATGGTACCCTGGCACCACCAATACCTAGATGATAAGGGAGTACAAGTGGAACAGACTACACAAAGGGATCAGGCTTGCACACTCTCCACTCACTCCAGCATTAAAATGTTTCCTTTGCACTCAGCTATGACACTAATATTTAAACTGAAGTCTAAGCTCCAATCCTCTCTGCAGTAAAACTTGTTTGAATCGAGGGGCACCCTTCTATCATTCTGCCTGACCCCCTTCTCCTGGTCCACTCTACAAGCAAAATTACCCGGATAAAAAAAGCTGAGGAGGCAGAGCAAGGAAGACGCACACTATTTAACCTGACTAGATGGTTGATTCAATCCAGCACCTAACTCCAGAGAGCACAAGAGGGGGCAGCATTTCACTAAGAACTGCCTAAATTTTTACTGCATCAAGAGGAAAAGGTCGCAGAACCACAGCCTGAGTGAGGTGAAGGCAAATATCCCCTTCAGCACATTCTGCTGCAGAGCAGTGACCTCCTGGGCACTCTGTGAACAGCCACAAGGCTGGGAGGATGACGAGGCAGTAGTGGAAGGCAAGCTACAGTTATTCTTGCCAGAGAAAACTGTCAGAGTCAAAAATCCTTTGGATGAAATCTGACTGTTCCCTGAACTCCAGCCCCAACCCTTCTATGGACCAGTTTGTTCCTCCAGAAAAAAGCAACTATTGTCTCCAAAGACAGGTACTTCCTTCCCACTGTGAAAGTATGATGTTAGAATTTGTAAATCTGTAATTTAGGGAAGTTCACAGAGTCACAAAGAATTATTTTAACACTGTTTATATTATAAGAGGTAAGAAATGCACATATCAGGGCCTATCACGGTAATTAGTCTGATTCAGGGAAAAGTGAAGGGTGGAAAAGATGACACATTTTTGATCAACATAGAACATGAAAAGAAACTAATAAGACCTGAAATAGCTAACTTTTTGCGGAAGTCATGTTTTGTAACATCCTCGAGCGAACTTCATTTAAAACATCTTCCAGGAAAATTACTTCTCCTCTCCGAGTCTTCATCCCTTGAACTAGACCGAAAGACACATGCTGGCACCTGCGTTGAAAAGCAGCAGGACCTAAAATTACATTTCAATCAAGAGAAATGTTTGCAGTGTTTGTTCAGAGCTGGATTCTCTACTAGGAAACAGCAATAACAGCTGAATAAATAACACTCCAACATAGAAAGCTTTGTGATATAATCAGTAACTCTCATTTCAGCAACCAAAGCTCCATATTTATTATGTAATGGGAAAATTATGATCAGAATTATGACAACCTGGTCATTTGCGTGCTCTCAGGAACCTCTCTTGCTACTACCTTTAGTACAGAGGCCTCAATGCAATAATTTGCAATAAATTGAAGAGAGGCAGGATGTAGACAGATCAAATTACTGTGCCAACACAGACCTGTTAATATAATTAGAAAGGGAGTCATAATAATTCTACTGTGGGCACATTAAACTAAAAGTATAATTAATCATAATAATAAAATATTCGTTGCTTCTGCTTATAATAATCCCAAGCATTATTCTGGATCCAGAATCTATGACAACTTTAAGCACTGTGAAAGGAGGCAGTCTAGTTTTCCAGAAGGCTAAAACGCTATATTTAACCACAAAAGACATGCAGTCTGGCAGAGGAATATGATTTAGTTTGCAGATCCATTACTGACCTTTGCCCAGATTGCTAACAAGATTGGTAACTACAATGAATAACAGCAGGGATACGCTTCCTTGCAATAGATACTTCAAGCCTGAAGCATGATTCAAACTCAGATTCAGATCACTGCTAAAATATAATACTTCAAGAATAATAATTTAATATGTCATCATACAATATCCCAGAAGCTACGCCACAAAGTCTCTTAAAGATTGTTTCTCTTTTTCACATCAAGCAGTTATGAAGTTAAATGAGAGACAGGGCTGTTTTTCACATCCTGAACACGACTCCTTTCACAAATTAATCAGGGCAGCAGGAGTGGGCATATAGAATGAAAAGGTTGGTGCTGAGGACCTGAGGCCCACATTGCACACTATTCTAAGGGTTTGTTTTGTTATTTTTTTCCTCCTTATTGGACTAGTATTAGTTGGGTCCTACAGGCCAAATGTCTGCTTGCACTCTGGAGTTCATTAGTTGTAAACCAGCATCACATCTTGTAGCTTAGCTTCAACCAAAATGCCTATAGCATGGTGGTAGGTGGACACAATCAGGAGATTCTCCTCAAAAGAACAGTCCACTGAAATTCCAATGTACAAATTATCCATTTTTAAAAAAAACAATCAACCAAATAAGGTATATAATACAATTAAGATTCATAAATACATACCTTTCTGCCCAGTCATAACCCATGAGCTTCAGTATTTGAAATAAATGCTGAAAATGATGACTTTGACTTTTATCTGTCTAAGGAACAGAATTCATGCATATCAGAACACACTCCAAGTCTGATAGGGATTAGCTTTTCACACACAAACACACACCACCACAGATACTGTGCCAGTAAGTCACTGCAAGCAGAATTAAAATCTATGAAGGCAAACGACTTGAAAATTGTGGCAGCTGGAATCTATGTCAATGGGATTTTGCATCATATTAGAAAAAAGTAATCTACCTTTTCAGACATTATTCAAGTCATGAAGCAAAAAGACACGAAGGGAAAGGAAACCTTGATGTTCTTTAGTTTCCCATAATTCGTGAGCTGCCCACAAAAAACCCCTCCATTTCCACTTCAGAACCTTGCTGCTCGCTATATACCCATGTTTTACATCACCAAACGCTAGGGTTCCTTTGGCTTAGAAACAGAACACCTCTTTAAGCTGTCTGTCTCCAGAACCCACTAGTTTCTATTGTCTCTAGTGTGATTTGTAGTTTTACATTATAAGGCAGCTACAGAATTTTAAAAAAAGGAGTATGAATTATCACAATTTCATAACAATTATGCATTTTGTGCTCTCTTACACTTCCAGTTACTCTCTCCTATGAACTGAAGTAGTTTCTGTTGGTGGTTTATGCCTAACAATGATCTTCATATGTGTTTCTAGCTACAGCTGTTGCTGCAAAGTTCACTTTCCTACCTAGTTATTTTGACTACACCACTCAGACTCCCTTTTATCCCTCCTTAAAAAACACTGCAGAGATCACCAAATAATCACTTCTGTCCTGGTTAGAACGGCTGGGACCAATTCATCCCTGGATGGGTGTAACCCAAAACTGTGTATTCTATAGCCTCCATGCCATTTCCCAAAAACTGCTGTCAGTAGAGGCCTGCAAGGTGGGAAGATGTTCCTGTACCCTTTTATGGAATTCCCCGCTCTGATATCCTTATATGGAATTCCCCGCTCTGATACCCTTATATGGAAGAGGGACTGAGCATCCGCATGCCCTTTTATGGAATTCCCTACTCTGAGGGAGGGACTGAGCACTCCCGCCTGAACTGGAGAGTATATAACTGGGAGTTTCAGAGCCTTGCGACCTCTCGTGGGATCCAGAGGAAGACTCCAGACCACTGCCTTCAACTAGACTGAGACCACCACCCTCGACTGGACTGCAATCACCACTTCTGACCAGACTGCAGCAGCTCTCCCACCAGCAGGTTTATTCCCTCTCCCTTTGCTTTGGACTCGGGGGTGGGCCAAGGTACACCACTCTTGTTCATACCCTAGGGTGCTGGTTTATACATTTGGGTTTTGTGGGTTAAAACCAATTGTCTGTCTGTATAATTGTACTTATTGCATTATTTTAATAAATTGTTATTCTGACTTATAAATCTCTCTTTTGAATTGAGTTCATTTTCCCTTGCTGGTTAACTTTTAAACCAGCACAACTTCTTCCTCATTTGTTTTGTGTTCCAAGACAATGAGTGAGCAGTGAGTGAAGTGCTTATCTGTGTTGCTTCTCAATTCTACCTCTGTATCAAGCACCTGCCTCCTCTTTCAGAGTTCTTCATAAGCTGCTCCGCTCCTATCACCTCTCTGCTCAGATCACCTCTCCATGTTGACTCACAAGCAAGGCTGATAAATGGATAGCAGTGGCCAGCATTTAAAACTAGGCCTTCCAAGCTCTTTTCCATTCATCTTACATCTGAGGTTTATCTCTGTACCTGTAACAAAGCCAGATCTCTCTCACTAAGTGGTTAGCTTTAAGGGAGAAGTGTGCAGTCTGGCAGCATGGATTATATTCAATTCTTCATAAAGGAAAGCAGTTTCATTCAAGTAGGATTTAAAAAATCTAAATTGGTGAATGCACTGATTTACAGCATTACAACTAGCAAACCAATTTAATGTTTTCTTTAACAAGTTGATCTGATGAAGATAAGATGATCTTATTAAAATAAGACTCGAGAGTCTCTAAATAATTTTCTTGTAACAAGATTAGGATTCTGCTATACCTTTGTATTTAATAATTGATGACTAAAATCATCAGTGCTCTCATTTAAACCCATGAAGTCCTCCTGCCTCTGGTAACACTGAGTTCAGTCTTAACTCGTTACACAGTAGTGGCATAAAACAGTAGCAAAGCTCAGCGAGGCTGGCAGGTCCCTCATCAGTCTGTCTGTTCCATAAAGTCTCCTAACAGCCTATGTTATCACCCTCTCATGTTATAACCCACTTTCCCAGTCCTCAGAAAGCCAGAAGTAATAAAAAACCCCTCAAGTCAGACATTCAACTGACACATCAATCACATCACAGTCTGGTTTTGCTGGACATCTGTTTGGACTCAGAGTAGGACAAAAAGGGCCAGCCAAGGAAGTAAACAGTTACTGGAGTTCAGCTGTGAGCAGCCAGTCAGCTCAAGACTGGCTTCCACACTCACTCACTCCATGACCATAACGTTTAGGCAATATCCTAATCTGTGCAAAGCAGAGACCCAACTATTCTTTCTTTCTAATTGTACCTTCTTCCCTGGTCCCCACCACCTCACAGTATAACAAATACAAATAATTACCTATCCACATGAACTAGACAGGAAACATCCCTAACTCCTAAAGCATTGCATTTTCACAGCCACACTCTCCTTCCATGTCAATGAACCCAGTATGTTCCAGCCAGCAGAGGTAGAAAAACTCCCACCAAACCCAAAGAATTTCCCAAAAAAATAACCAAGAAGTCCCTGTTCTCTGACAAAAGGTAGGAATGGCAGGCTATGCAAAACTTCCTGAAGACTGAAATAAAAGGAGGAATGTCAATTAACTAGAAATTGCACTTTCAACTACCTGTGTATTTAATATTGTGCTTACTGATCTCTCCCTGTCTTCTGAATATTGTCACATTATACTGACTTCAGAAAAAGTTGTACCAGAGAAAGTATGTGGGCATTACTAAACACATGACAGCAACATGCAGATTTTTTCCACATGTTATTGACTTCATATAAAAGAACACAGTTTATAAAATTATTTTTTTCTAAAGCTGGGAAAAAGAAGATTTAAAAGCATCATGGGATATCTCCTTGGTAATACTAGAGCAAAAAAGAGTTTCACACAAGTGAGGAGGTAATCCAAGTATTCATTATTGATACTACTGGAACTATTAAAAATCAAAATAATCAAACCAAGAAATATAAAAACATTCCCTGCCTATAACTGCTTCATCCAGATTGATTAAAGAGAAAATACAATGTCAAACAAAGTAAAAGTTCCTTTGAAACTAATTGCAATGAATTTTTATAATAGAGAATAACTCTAGAGCTGATTTTCATAGGATCATAGAAAGGCTTGGGTTGGTAAGGACCTTAAAGATCACCTAATTCAAACCCTCCTGCCACAGGTGGGGACATCTTCCACTAGACCACACCACTCAGAGACCCATCCAACCTGGTCTTGAACACTTCCAAGGATGAGGCGTCCACAGTGTCTCTGGGCAAGCTGTTCCAGTGCTTCGTCACTGTCACAGTAAAGAATTTATTACTAATATCTAATCTAAACCTACTCTCTGTTAGTTTAAAGTTATTTTTCAACCATTCTGTTGGTCATGAACTGAAACAGAACCAAGAAACACTGCCACACTGAGGCACAGCTGCTGGGCAGTAAGGGCATCTATTTTACTGCCAAAAATACCATGTGTCTAAGTCAGATTGTGAGCAAGAAGCCCCCCTGGATTACTGGAAAGAGTCAGGCTCAAAAGTGTTTGCTGAATCTAGAATTACTTACCACATAAATCATAGTATCACAGCTGTGTTTGTTCATTCGGTCTATAGCAGCCGCAAGATCTCTGGAAGAGATAATAAGAAACTATTTGGAATTTCACTCAAACATACGCCATTATTTTCCTCTCAGAAAAATAATCTACTTTTTATGAAGGGGAGAGGACTGCCCAGTTAGAAGGATCTATGTATGCCTTACATAAAAAAAGAGATGCATAATTAGCTGATGACATGTTTGAAATGTTTTTTTAAACCACTAACTATGAAAATTACTGAGGAAACAGTTCTTACATGCAGAGTAAGTCTGCTCTCTGTCTGCTTACTGGGACACGAAAGAAACAACCCCCTCCTGGAAAACTAACCCAGTGCTTAGCATTAGGGTACATGGTACAAAGCTCATCTTTACATACACACACAACAGTACAGAGAAACAACTTGCTCGAGCCCCTCCCAGGGTTGTCACAGGAGAGCCATAGGCCCCATGTTCCAATCTGAAAGCCTCCTCAGGGGCCACCACAGCGGCTCTCCAGACCACCCGACTGAGGGAGGGTACTGCCTAAGGACATGGGACACATGGGATGAAGGGGAAAAGTATTTTGCAATTGCCCGAGACTTAACATAGGATGCTCAGGGGAGGAACCAAGGATGGGAAAAGAAAGGGAGAAGATGATAACAGGGACAAGTGGTTTGTAAGCCAGTTGCTGGTTAGTATGTTTGCTCAGTTGTGCCCTGAACTTCCTCAGCACAATCTCTCCTGTTTTCTCATAAAACTTCATTTCAAACTCTCCCTGGGTGAGGGGGCTCTCTCTTCTGTATGCATGTGAATTTGGAGGTCTAAGTATCATTATCTGGAGTTGGGGCCTACAGCTCATATGGGCTGTGCATCTGTGGTGCCAGCAACTGAAGGGAACTGGGCATAAGCGAAATTAAGTGATAGCAACTGGAGTCTGACCATGGGTCACAGGGGCCAAGGTGTCTCTGCTGCCAACATCTGGAGTGAGGGCACACACATCAACATGTGACCAAGCAAATATCAAGCTGAATAGCCAGTAAGCAGGTGAAGTAACCTGGAAGTATCCAGGTAAATGTGTGCCTTTAAAGAGGAGGCACCCAGAGGAGTCTGTACTGTTGGCATCAGGGGGTCCAGGCCAGCAGCTGGAGAGACCATGGGGCCAGAGGGCTGACTGAGAGATCTGTCTGGGTACATGTGTCTCTATGGAGAAGGCAATGGGGCAGAGCAAGGATCCAGAGCCAACAGTTACATGTCTAAGCTCAGTTACTGGAGAGATCCAATGTGTCTGTGCCAGTAACCAGAGTGGGACTATGGGCCTTGGGGACTCTCATGCCCAGGTGCCAACAGCTGGGGAGACCTGGGGATCCAGGGACAGCTAATGGGCAGAGTCTCAGCTACTGGAGGGATACACATGGTACATACATACTCTGTACCTACAATACATATGTATATTACTTGGGTTACTAAATAATACATATCACATACTTAAGTGTGTATATCTATACAAACACATATATATCTATTTCTACACAGTAACAGACCTTCATCCTGATCAGCCAGAGGGGAATAAAACACCAACTGTGCTGTCTGAGGGCTGAGTGGTTTTGGCTGGGGCATGTGTGTGTGTCTGTGCCTAGTCCAAACAGGTGATCAGCCTTACTACTGCTTGACCTCTGGGCATGGAGCTGTGGCATGGTTGTCTCTGTTTGGCTACAGGATTCAGCAGCTCCTTAATGAGCAGGATTGACTGCAACATCTCTCTAATACCCTCGCCCTGAAAAGCTGTACACAGTTTACCCTGAGGGCTGGACCTCTGATTTGTTTGCATTACTGGCACAAAGAAACTGTTAAGGCTTCCATATTAAAATACCCAAGAGGAATTTTAGGATACTGATGACGTGGCAGGAAAACAGCAATACAATTGATGTTACAGTGCTGGTGGTCCACTGAGTAAACGCAGACATGGCTGAGACATCATTTTTTTCTGCATCATATTGTCAATAAACATTTTATGCAAAGGTCTTTCTAAAACCTTCACTATTTGGCAACTATTTACTAGATCAAGAGATCCCAGTTTTGTTTTCAAAGTTAGTAGCTAAAGAAAGTATTATGATTTATGCAAAGAAGAGATTTACTTGCAGACTGCTTAAGGGGAGGAAGAGTATTTAAAAGCCATTGTTTTTCCTGATCCATTTTTATCCTGACATAGTTACATTCATAGTTTCAGTTACAATTACTCAACAATAAGGGTGTTCCATTATAGCAATAAAAAGCTTCAAAATCTGTACTATCAGTTACAAATGTACTCATGTACAAAAGTTTACTGGCAAAATAAATGGCAATGAACACAGATGAGCTTACTTGCCTTGTTATATAAAGAGATGTCCCATCACTACGCATGACAGTGGAAACCAACGAGAGGTCTTTCTTTTCCGAAAGATCCACGATTCCTGTCCCTTTTCTGTAAGTTGAGATAAAATACCGATGTAACTGCAAGCTAATATACAGGTAAATTCAGATAAGACTGAGGTCAGAACCAAAATGGCCTCTTGCCTCAAACCCCCTCACTGTAGACAACTTTATTCTTTTTCTTTGAATGACTGTCTCCTTTAAGTATTTTTGAAGACTGTTCCTGTAAGTTTGTTGTCACCACTGCTTATGCCAGGGAGCCTGCCCACATTCTGGTGCATTCCATGATTACAGCTTCCATCTCAGTTCAGCCAGGCACCTGCTTCAGCAAAGCAAGGATCTCATCTAACTCTGCTCATTAAATGGCACATGCAGCTACCAAATTAATTAACAGCCTAAAAGGCCATTATGAGTTGAACACTGTCATTGTACTTAATTTGTCATGGCCAAGCTTCTGTACTAGCCACAGAAAGGCAAACTTAATTTTTAACTGTGAGTGCACAAATCCTCTTGGTCTTCTACTAGGACAGCTACCAAGACCATTTAAAGAAAACTCTTCGCCTTAGATTATGTACAAACCTCACTCATCATATCTTGTTTGAAATGCAACTGAGATGTTAAGTAAATTACACTGATTGAATAATGAGTCCATACGTTGTTTTTTGAAGAAGTCCCTTATCTTCCAACATCTTTAGAACCTCCTGGGCCTTCTCTTGGTAATGTGACTCTCCAGAATATTCATCAAAATGCACTCCTAGACGCTGAAAAGTTCCAAGAATATCAAAGAAGGGTAAAATTGATAAGATTGAGGTTAATCATTTCTTCAAATTAAGTAAGACAATAGGTCTGTGTCACACATCAGATACAGTGCAAAGATTAATTTTATTCCAGGAAAGATGACTTCATTGTCAAGAGGAAAGGATATTTGGATTTTGATTTAATTGATTTCTGCATTAGAATTAATCTCCCTAAATTGAATACAGCCTGGGTATAATGTTCATGAGAAATTAGGCATAAACTGGTTAAAGCAATTGGTACAAAAATTCTGAGGCAGGTCTTTAACTTGGTGTGCTGGAGGTGAAAGGCATGGACTGCAGAGATTGTACTTGGACATGAAACCAACTCTATTTTGAAAGGAAACTGAAAGAAATTTAAAAAGGCAGAAGCTACTCACAAACACTTCTGAGCATACAGAAATCATCATTACTATGAAGCCTGAAGGTACACCCAGGAAAGACAGGATGACCTTAACTATCAAAACTGTCAGTCCCTCAGCTGAATATTTATTAGTTTGAATGAAATTGGGAGACAAAGATCCAGCTGTAGCAGTCATTATGTGATCAATGATGAGTGACCATCACAATTCACCTGCATATACAGCCCAATACCTGTTTACCCTTACAGGTGAGCTTTCCACTAGAATTATCAAGTGTCTCACTTAGGAGATCTTAACTTAGAATACTTGGCTTGACTCCACAGATATGTTTCAGGGAAGAAATTAAAGCACAGCCAGGTTATCTGGACTATTGAGGAAAGGGCAGGCAACTTCTGATATTAACTTTGCAATCAATGAAACAAAACATGACTGATTTCTACAAATACAGCAAGAGGAATGAGATAGAAAAGTGAAATTTTAAATAAATAATAATACTAGAAGAAGGAAGAGATAGAAAACAAGTCACAAACTCTCTGGAGCTGCAAGTTAAAAAAAAATGTCTAAGCCCATCAACACTGGTCACCCATTCCAGAATTTCATCGCAAGTGGGAAAAACACCAGCTGATCTTCAGATGGACTCAGCTGGCTCTTGAGTAGTATTACAGAGATCAATACCACGTGACTGGATTCAGTGTTACCTGGACACCATTAAATAAAAAGTATCTAGGATGTCAGCAACTAAAGTGATGGTCTGCTTGGATGTAGATCAGCTACTGTGCTTTTTCCAAACAGAATGGGGCATAACCTGGCTTACCAAGAAAAAGCTTCCCCACAACACACTTAAGGTTATGGGAAAGGCAATGAATTGACAATATTAGAGCAATCTCTGTTCCTAAGTGAGTTCACCGCTTGGCAATCTCCTGGATGAAAAGGTACTGTGCACTATCAATTATACTGATGAAGCAATAGAGAAAAAGAGACCAAGAACACAGAGAAAGCAGTCGATGATTTGTACCTTATAAATCTGGATGTATTCCTCAATACTGAAGTCTCTAAATTGTTTCCAAAGTGACAATGTCTGCTCATCACGTTCCTCCAGTTTTCTAAAGAAATCCTTTGCCAGTTTTTTTGTGTTTTCATCTTCTGCTGCTTTATTAATCTGCACATACACCTAAAACATGACACTGACAATGTTGAAATAGTATAATCCTCCCCTCCAATAAAATAAAGTTCTACAAGAACAATGCAAATACATTTAAAGATGACATTTGTACCGTCAAAATTCTAAAGACACATTAAAGCAACACATTTCTCATTTAAAGAAAGAACGAATAGCCCAAAGTCCAAGAGGAAAACGTGCAGCTTATCTTGAAAGAAGACTAATGCTGTAATCCCTTACTGCTGTTGCTATGATCCTCTTCATAATCTTCAAACTGCTGCAGCAGCAAAATGTGGAAGAACTCATTTATGTGTGCAAACGAAACCATCACGGACATTTAAACCACAGACTTTTCCTTGGAGAACCACAAAGTTGATACTTATAACAACTACACTGCCTAAAAATGAGATAGCAACTGAAACAGCAAAATCCTTGATAGAATCAGTATTTTACAAGCTCAAAAAGAAAACCCCGACCCATTTATGATGAAAAAAAAGTTAATGCTGCTTAACTTTTAAATATTTGTATGAGCTTTAATCCTCAAATCATTACAATCTTGATAAAAAATAAGTAATTGTAAAAATTCCATTCCTGTAATGTTCAATGAGTGTGCCAACAATGCAAACCTTGCTCCAATGGGTTTCACTTTTCCAGAGCAAAACTCACTTTTCCCCTTCAAGTCTGAAGATTTTTGGAGATTTTTAACTGCTGACAAGCTTCAAAGCTTATTGTTTGCTTAGTTCTACTATGAAAAATAAATTTAGAGTAGAGGGAAAATTCAACCTGTTCTAAGAACAATGCTCATCCTCTCCCATCAGTAGTTTCACACATCCTAGTGTCCACCTATCCCCAATCTTTCATGTTATAAGGCAAAAAAAAAATGCAAAAAGCATATTTGCATTTGCCTCTTGACCAAAATGGAAGGTACAAAGATGTTTGGAAAGGTACATTTGTCTATACATTTATTTATATAGAAACTGTGCTATGGAAATGTTCTTTTTAAATGAACTATAGGAAAGATTAATTTCATACAATAGCAGAAAAAACACCACTTTGAAACACATCTCAGTTTTTGATATAACTAGGGATACAGCTGAACAAACACTTAGGAATTGGGAATAATTGAGAAATCAATTTGGTCTTAAACAACTACTGTTTTAGAACCTTTTGCATCTTGACTGAATACTGTTCTCTACATTTGAAGGTAATAAAGCCTACACACTGCTGCAATTTTAAAGCTTTAGTGCAAAATTCAAGTATTAAAAATTTAAATTCTAAGAATGGACTTAAATTATAAATAAAGTAATACACAGCATGAACAACCACAAAATATGACTACTTTTTTTCTCTTTTAATCAGTCCTACAGCTCTAAAACACCTCCACATTGAGAATCTATCAATTTAATTCATCGGGGCTCAGGGATGAAGGAATAAGAGAACAAAATTTACCTATGTCAAAGAAGCTGGCAAGCTCAGAAGGAGCTATTCTGCCACATAAACAATCTGACTAACATGCATTCAGCTGTTGACTATTCAAATATTCGAACACAGTTTGCTCCTTCGCCAATAAACAGATTTATGCAGAACGTTTATCCTGCAACATGCTGTCTGAACACCACTGGCCATAGTTCCCATATCCAGCTCACAGGGTGAAGCACAGCTCAGCTTAGTAATGAGAGAACATCTGACAGTGCCACACAAGAACCCTGACAAAGCCTCATTAACGTGTGATATCTTCCTTTTAGAGGATGAGGACTTGAACATCAGCCACTCAGAAAATTTTGTCCACTTATCCACACAGTTATTGGATCTGTGCAGGTAAGTACATAAGTCCTTTATGTGTATTGTATGCATGTTACATCCAGAATGGTTGTCATCCAAAGATCACTTACAAGTACCAAAGATTGACAAAATCTTTCTGGTTCACTGCACTATAGGAAAACAAGGAAGTGATATAGGAACTGCTAAAGAGGAAGAAGTAAGTACTAACTCAGATGGTATTAGGCATATTGGAATGGAGCAATCCAACAACCAAAACCATATTAATCCTGGAAAGACAAAGCTTGTTAAACTACCTCAATCTTCATTGCTAACTGGGAGAGTCCACTGAGTCAGGTTTGTCCCTGACACACACAAATGCAATCGACAGCACTTGCACCATCTGTGGGCTTGGTGGGTAACCGAGAGGGCAACCTCCTGCAATAAAACAGCCTTCCCTACTGCTGCAAGGCATTTCCTGAATGGCTGTCAGCAGAAACCACACCTTCTAATGCTCCTGGCTCTTTCACACTCTTGGAAGAAAGAGCATTCTGCAGAGCCAGAGCAGCGTTCTGGAAAGTGACAGTCACTCCTCCTTAGCTATAAATGTTAAAGCTCCATATTAGACACGAAACACTTTCAAGATCCTTTTGCCCCATCACAGTGAATTGTGCATTGAGCAAAGAAAATCAAATTCTAAAAACACTAGCGACAGGCATACATGTCATTTTCACAACTTTGGTAACCAACAGCATCAGATGCAGTCTGTATTGCCACAGCCCAGGCTTGCACTACTCCTTCAAGTATGGTCATTCAAATATCACATGAGTCTCCTCATGACCCTGCAGACACATTAAAATCACTTTTTGTACACATTCTGTACAAAACTGACAGCTAAATTAAATGGATTGTCCTCTGAAGTGTGTAGTTGGTCTTCTCTGAACTTACCTCAAACAGGTGTTGTAAAGGACTGGATTTTAGTTTTTCTTTGTTGCCAAAGGATTGGAAACCAACACCCAATAAGCCTTGAATAACAATTAAATACAGAGTTATGCAACAACACAGAGTATGTTATGTTATTTTCATAAGCAAGTCTAGTTTTAGCACTGTAGCCAATAAAACAAATGCCCTACATTTTAAAACAATAGTGTATGCTACAAAAATAAAGCATATGAAAAGCATAACCTATTATTCCACTGCATGAGAAAAACACCCCAAAAATATAATAGCTAGAAACTACTAAGAAATACTGTATTGATTTTTCAATTCCTCATAATTAGAATTTGTGTTTCTGGACTTGCAGAGAAAATCAACTTTTACACAGCCATGACCTGCAAATGAGAAGTCACACAGTGGAAACTGTCCAGCAATAGATCATGCTCAAAACTCTTTGTTTTGCTTTCTCCCTTAAGCATATTATCGTTTCAAGGACAATAGAAACAGGAACACAATGTGGTATTCCACATACACTCATGCAATATTTTCAAGGGAACTTTTTGCTGCATGCTTAGAATACACAGCTTTTTTCACATGTCCAATTTGGCTTCAGCTCTTCCCAAAAGCCACCTGAAAGGGCAAGAAATCCAAATCCCAATCTTTTTGCCTGAATAAAAACACCACACTAACTCCTTCAGTAATGTCTCTTAGATTATCTGAGGCTAAATTCAAGGCCATCTTACTCCTCTGAGTTGACAAGGACCAGGACTGATGTAGGAATAGGTATGCAGTTATCCTTTTGAAAAACCCTCTGCAACTAAATAAATAGCACTGTCTCAAGAACTTCCCTCTAAGAAACACTAAGTGTAGTAGAAGTCATGGCAGACTCAAGGAAGAAAAACAGGTTAGGGTTTAGGAAATAAAATTAGTCTAATCCTACTGAAAGGAAGTTTAGCTAAGGACAGCTTGTTCTACAAACAATTGGAGCTTGATTTCCTAATGATCTCTCTTAGATATTAGTGTACCTAAATATTCCACTTTTCAATGCTGACTTCACAATCCAATCCCCAGCACGACTGCCAGTCTTTATTTAACCCAAACACTTCCTTCCACACATTTTCTGTCTTCCCCGAACTATCCCCAGACCTTAGTACACTCACCACTTATTGGCAAGATGCAGCATGTGTTGGGACCAGTTCTGACTTAGAGGTGCTGACTGGTTTGCCCGCAGGCTAAACACAAAAGTTAACTCTCTCCCACAGGGCGTTACATTGTATTTCTATCCCTACTCAGCTGCCAACTGTCACAATTCCAAAGGAAATTAGTTTTCTTGGAGACATTTTTCTTTGTCAGATCTGGCTGAAGTTGGCCAATGGGTTCAAAATCTATTAGGAGCAGTGACAGGAAGACAGATTGACAGACAGTGTGGCTGCATAAACATTGTTACCTTAAGAAACCTGCCCCAAAACTGCCTAAAGGTTGAGCACTTCTCTGTCATGTTTCAGCAAAACATGTTTTCAATCATTAAATTTTAAAGCCTCTGACAATAGCAGTTGTAAAAGAAATGCTGACAGATGGTTAATTACAGCACTGCTTCTGAGAAAGGACCGCTATAATAATATTTCAATGCTGTAATTTTGTGAAGCATGACTATATTATTTGTTATACCTGTCATATATTTGAGCTAAGTCAGCCCAGATAAAGAGGGGATCACCTATTTTGAAAGAAACGGAACTACTAGGTCAGTTGTGTGCTGCTCAACAGGTACACGTGTAAATAACAGGCATTATGATCTTTATACCTTCAGGAAACTTAGTATTAAAATACATAAAATTCCTGATATTCAGAATTCAGAGTGCTATTTAGTATCTTTAAAGAAAGACAGAACGAGGTCAGCTGAGAAGCCTTTTAACCACATTGCATTTCATTGCTTCACTGTCATTGCCACATTGATTATACAACAGCATAGTGATAAAATTATGTTTAAGGGTCAAAAATGAATGAAATATGCAATAATGAAACTGACTGAGTTTTTGATGAACTCATTCCGCATTCAATTCCTATAAACAAATTTTAAGTGAGGCAAAGCTCTGCTATAAGCTAGTGTTTCATCAGAAACAGGATCAGGAAAGACAAGCTGCAGAGGAAATAATTTAACAAAGGAAAGAATATTCTATTACTGGTCTCATAGTCATACGAATGTTACACTGCACTGTCTAAATGCCAGGAATTTAATCTAGAAGGATAATGGGTAAACTGAATATTTTTGTTATGTTATCTACAGTTAGGAATCTAAATACACAAATGGAGTGAAAGTAGAGTATTTAGTAACCCAACTCTGTTCATAAAATTGATTCCTTGATGTCCCCATAAACAGCAGTACCATTGAAACTGGAGGGGGCAGAATAAAGGCTGGAATAAGCAAAAGTGACTGCTTAATGGACACTGCACTTTGTGTTTGCCATTCAAAAATAGTTTTCAAAGCCTATTACAAAAGAAGTGGGGGATTTTTATAGTTTTCCAGGTGTATCAGCTTTAAAGAATGAGCAAGTGAGCATGACTGCCTTTTTTTAAATGCTGAAAATATGTCAAAACAGCTTTTTTGGGGAAATTAGAAAAAAAAAGAGGAAAATACAGATCAATTTAAAATGCAAGATTAACAGAAGTCAACAAAGTTGTGAATTCTAAGGATGGGCCAGCTGCCATAAAAGAGGGATGGCTATAGATCCGGCAATTGGACCTAAATGATCTGTGGTCAGGGAATAAATATCAAGCTATGCAAGGCTGTACATGAGAGGATTTTTCAGTCCTCACTTGGACATTTCAGAAGAAGTAGGGGTGTCTATGTGTGTGCATACATGATTGATAGTTTTCCATAACCTATTCACTTGCGCATTCTCCACCTGTACACCTCTCCTGTGCTACATTTTAAGCGGAAGCTGAATATTTTGGGGAAAGTGTAGGGATATCTTTAAAGATACAAACTCCCTGGGCCTCGACCTGCCAAAATTTGGTTGTTGTGGAAATTAATTATGTTCTATGAATAATGAACTACTTTCCAAAAGGAACAAAAAAAACCAACCAAAAACACAAAAAACACCACATAAAGAAAAAACACAAACACACACAAAGACAACCCAAATATAAAATACACATTGTTACAATTATTCTATTGTTGTGGCCCAGGCAAGTTAGCAAGCTTACTCTTCCACAAGTGTTACACATGTAAAGTCTGAATAAGGAAGACAAGATCACAGCAGATGTGCAACAGTTACAGTAACAGGTACACCTTTTGTCTGGAGGCAGCAACAGAAGTCTGCTCAGCCATGAGGACTCCAAAGGTGTAACAAGCATACTAAGAAAATAACCCCCAAACTACACACAAGTAATCTGAGAGAGGAGCTACTGAGGGACAGAAGAACTGTTGGGTAAATTTCCTCCTGTTATTTCTTGTACAGCAGTACAGATCATACTGTTGATGAATCAGTCTGGATTGTTTTGTTCATATTTTAAGGAAATTAACTATATATTACATTAATGGAAACAGGATATCACTCTTTATGAGTGCAGAGTGGCCAGCAAAAACTGAAGCTGGACACCTAGACCATATGATACAGTAGAAGGGAGGCAGAATAAACAAGTATTAAAACATACCAAACTGCATGCCCCAGTCACCGAGGTAATTTATTCTTACTACTTCATGTCCCAGTGCACGTTTGAGATTTGCTATAAAATTCCCTGGTAAGGAAAAATAAAGATATTACTATTCAGTTGTAGGTAGTCTCTCATGCCTACAAAGTTTCTGTTTTCTACAGTTTGTATGATCTGTATTCAGAAGGAAGAGGAAAAGCAATCAGATGGATTACTCCATAGAATTTCCTAAAATACTTCACAACTAAAAGCAATAGTAGGATTAATAGTAAAAAGCAAGTTCCTTTCTGAGCAGAAAAAGAAATGTCATGCATTTGAAAAGCGCCATAAAGTATTTCACACAACAGTGATAAAAACATACACAGGTGTATGCGCATGCACATACTGCAAAGTATGCAATCATAAAAAAATCTTTTAAAGTCTTCTTGTACTCTCACAAATATGTGTGCATACAAATACGTATATACAATTCCATTAGAGTCAGGCAAGCTCATACCAGGAGGTTAGGCAAGCACTCAAGATTCATAAACTCCTGTTAACTGTGATGTTAAATAGAGAACATCAAGTCCTGAATCTCTATACACTGCTGGGGCAGTTCTGAGCTCTGCACTTAACACACTACACCCCAAACTTATCATAACACATAAGGACATCTTAGTTCTAACCGTTGTTACAACAAAACCCCTTCATCTCTCTCCTGAGCTTAGCAACAGTCATAGAATTACAAAGAAGAAATACCCATATCCCTTCTTCCATTTTCCTGTGTTTCAAGGGTGTCTTTTATTTACAATACGGATGTTAAGGATGCAGAAGACTTTCTCTTCTTCTGTTGTTATAACACTGTATTATAGCTTGCAATTACTCTCAATCACATTCTCTGTAGTTAATTCATTCTCTTACTATGGAACAAACACTGATCTACAGAACTGTTTTTGAAAGTGGGGGTTTTTTTCTGTAACAAAGGGTCCAGAAATGGAACACAAAGAGTAATCTCACTCAACTATCAGTCCATGAAGAGGCACAATTATCAACTTTATGTAATTAATAATTATACATGATACTTTAAGTACTTTAAGACTAATGCAATATTAGATGCACAGATGCTGTAGGATCTTCTACTAATAACCTACTAGTTTTTATTGTGAGAGAGGGAAATGAGGGAGCATAATGTTTTCCATGTGCCACTAGAGTACTGCACAATAAACTTATTAATTAGAAATTACAGCAACTGTGCCAGTAATACTGCCATAAAGTAATCAACATATAAAAGCAAGCTTTTTCCAAGACAGACACCAAGACATAACTATCTGACTGCTCTGCAGTCCAGTGCAAATTGGGAATTTAAAATTCAAAGGACTCATGACACCTCAATGAAAACTGAATTGGATGTCTTTGCAGACCAATTTTAAACTACTTCATTTAATATTCACAGTCATAAAACTACATTACATGTGACTTAAATCTGCCAGCAACACACCACTTTCTTCTCTTCACTGCATAATAAGCAAAAGGTTTTTAATTAGCAAGTTGAGCCTCACGTGGCCCCTCCACCAGAGGAGTGAAAGGTTAGCAGTGCTCCCCTGTCAAGTGAAACAGGAAGACAAAGAAGCCCTTTTGGAAGGCAGTTAAATGCACACTTACCTACTATTGTGGAACGCAAATGTCCTATGTGAAACTTTTTGGCAATATTAGGGGAGCTGTAACAGATTTTCACAAATAATGTTTGTTCAATGCACAAGACTACCAGATCACCAAGTCAAAATAATTGAACTCATGCATCCAGCAGAAGAGCTGAAATAAACCCACCATTTTCAATTTTTTCTTAAGATTCCCTGATTAGCTTCTGTTCTAGACAGCAAATTTTCCTATCCAACCAGCTTTTCCTCCAGTATCAGTTAACAACCAGTGTTGTAGGGGAAAAAAGAAACCAAAAAACACTCCAAAACCAACAGCAACAAAAAAAAATCCAAAACAACCAACCCCCAACTATACCAGTGACAAAGAACTGAAAATATCTTCCCACTATTTACATGTTTTGGACATATGGATCATTCTCTTCACACCTTTATTAGAGATAAATCTGATACCAGGACTGGAGACCTTGTGTACAAGAATCAGTAACTGAAATCACACCTTCTCCAACGATGCCCCACTCAAAAAAACCCAAACCAAATCAGAACACAACCTTGTATGCACAACTGTTTACTCTGATAATAAAATCAAAGTTCAGTTATGAAAATTCACCCTTCAAATTAAAGCCAAGGGCTTACTTTCCATGACTATGGAAGCCTGCAGAGGGAGTATAAATGAACAAAAATATTTATCCATAAAAAGATCAGAGTCAGCCACTTTTCATTCCACGAGCAAGTGACTGCCAACAAAATTGCACTGGATAGAAATTTTGAGGCTAGTAATTGAGAAGATTTAGCAAGATAAATGCCTGGCTGCTTTAATAAGTCAGGGAGAAAGGTATTAAGGTGACAAAAGAAATAGGTTAGTGGCTGAAAATTCAGATGATGTTTCTTGATAACAAAATAAAAGAAGCTTACTTAAAAACTGAATGCTACTATGCACTAAACGAGAATATTCTTAGTGGAGGGCAGTGTGAGGCATGAACTCCTTAAATACCAAAAATATATTCTGATAAAAAGCCTCAATTCCCTAAATATAATTTATATTCTACTTGGCAAATTAACGTTGGAGTATTAAATACAGCTGAATACTGTAAAAATATGATTTAACATCACAGGCATTGTACATTACAGCAATGAATATCAAACAGAAAATATCAATCAGCAGACAAGCCAATTCTCTCAAAGGACTCCTCACACGTGCTTACCTGAACTCAATCACTGCCTTTTGTCTAGGTACTGCAGTGAAAATTTCACTTTTTACTCCATACTCTGAGCCATCTTTGAACACCTGCTGCAACACAGCCTAAAGCACAAGGAAGATGAAAAAAAACCACAAAAGAAAGCTTCAACAACAGAAAGCATTATCAGGAAAACTGTTTACCAGCCACACAGGAGACTGATCCACATCCTTTATCCACATTAGCAATTAGATGGGTGGTCTGCCAAGCAAACAAGGTCTCATATGCAGAAGAAAATGCCATTAGCTTTTGAAAACTGTATCTGACCAACTAAAAAAGTTAGAGAAAGTGTAGGCAGAGTTTTGGTGAAAATCAAGGCTGAATTTTGTAAAAACTTTCTATTTTCTGCTTCTTTAGTGACAAGGAAAGCCAACTATTCAATCGTCATGTATCAAAACACCCCTTCTTCTTTTCCCCCACCTGCAAGTCTGTAATGCCACTATGAATGGTCTGTACAAAAATATGTCTGCTTTGCAAGCACAGAGCCTGTGTATAACACCTTAAAATATTTCCTCAACACAGTTTGTGGGAAAAGGAATCCTATGCTGACTACACTATCAGTAACGTGCTCAGACAGCAAAGTCGGTCCCTGTACATACCCTACATACTTCACTTTGTCACACAGGCCAATACACTACAAATCCAACATATTGTATTGGTTTTCTGTGGCCAGGTTTTGGTAGCAGCGGGACTACAGGGGTGGCTTCTGTTGGAAGCTTCCCCCATGTCCTGAAGAGTGAACACCAGCCGGCTCCAGGACGGACCCGCTGCTGGCCAAGGCCGAGCCAATTGGGAATGACAGTAACGCCTCTGTGATAACTTATTTAAGAAGGAAGAAAAAAGTTATTGCACAGATGTAATTCCAGCCAGGGAAGAGCGGAGTGAGAACATGTGAGCAACAACACAGACACCAAGGTCAGTGCAGAAGGAGGAGCTCCACGAGCCAGAGCTGAGGTTCACCTGCAGCCCAGGATGGAGCAGCTGTGCCCCTGCAGCTCATGGAGGACCATTGGGTTGCAGAGACCCACCTGCAGCTCATGGAAGAGTCCATGCTAGAGCAGGTATATGCCTGTGGGAGGCTGTGACTCAGTGGGAGGCCTGTGTTGGAGCAGGGTCCTGACAGGGACCTGCTGACTTATGGAGAGAGGAGCCTGTGCTGGAGCAGGTTTTCCTGGTAGGACTTGTGGCCCTGTGGGGCACCCACGCTGGAGCACCTTGTTCCTGAAGGACTGCACCCCATGGAAAAGTGACCCACACGGCAGCAGTTTCATGAAGAACTGTTGCCCGAGAGATGGACTCACACCAGAGAGGTCCGTGAAGGACTGTTTCCCATGGGAGGGACCCCAAGGGAGCAGGGGAAGGACTCCTCTCCCTGAGCAGCGGCAGAAACAACAACTGACTGTAACCCCCGTTTCCTGTCTCCCTGCACTGCTGGGAAGGAGGATGGATTGGGGGAAGGTGTTTTTAAGATTTATTTACTTCTCATTCTCCTGGTATGATTCTGTTAGTAATAAATTCAGCTAATATTCCCACTTTGAGTCTGTTCTGCCTGTGACAGTAAGTGATCTCTCTCCCGATCCTTATCTTAACTCATGAATCCTTCATTATATCTTCTCTCTCCTTTGTCCAGTTGCAGAAGGGAGTGAGAGAGTGGCTTTAGTGAGTATCTGGCGTCCAGCCAGAGTCAACCCACTACATATATGAAGCTGTATGCATTGGCCAAGCTTCCTGAAGATAACAGGAGCCTTTAAGAAAGTGAACCAAAGTGGAAATCTCACTTCATTCAGTGGAAACTTTCCTTCCCCCCCTTAAAAAATTACTTTAAAATTTTTCTGCAATAGCTAATGAATAATTTTTTTTTAAAAAGGAAAAGCATCTGTAGAAAACATTTTTATTCTGTTCTTACTATGACACCTAAGAAGGCATGTACTAAGCTAGACACACACAAAAATTTACTCATAGACCTATTCTCTTTATCAGCAAAAGTTATAGCTAGTTTTTTTCTTTCCTCCCTCCTCAGCGACATAATGCAAAATTACATATCCTAATTCCACATATTTTTTCCAGCAAAACTCTTATTAGGCCAGACACAGTTTTGCTTGAATCATTAAACTGACTACAATTGCTACAGATAAAGTACCCTGTGAAACCCTGCCCATAAATAAAATTTAGCACAAACTACTCTTTCAGTGCTATGTTCTTATTAAGATGGATTGACTATAATCAGCTAATGAAAAATTAAAGGGATAAAGCAACTGATTGATAGCTATGCCTATGCAATACATGACAAAAAAGGATCTTTTCATTCAGGAAAAGAGGACTGCAAGCCTAAGTGACTCACTGGAAGTCCTGATGGGAAAAGGGCTTCACCAGTATTAGGTAAGACCTGATTTCTTGCCCCTAATTCATCTGTGGTTATTTTTCTCAGACCACAATATCATTTTCCACAAAAATTGTTAATCCTATAGATTAAGGCCATAAACAACAACACAACATTTGTTGTTAGTTGAACAAGCTAATTGAACTGGTTTAGCAATGCTTTCATTCAATCCCCAGTCTAACAGTACCAGTCATCCATATATCTTTATGAAGCTCTTCAAAATAATCCAGAGTACAACTGTGACACTACTCTTACAGATTGAGCTATATCTTCCTTCGCTACTGGTTTTAAATATTTTTGTTTTATTTTAGCAATTTTGAGCCAAACTCCCATGCCTCTATTTCCAATCAGATCCAGCTGGTTTAACTTACCGTGTATAGATGAAAAAAAAACCTAAAGAATTTCCTGTACCATTGGTTATAAAGAGCATCCAGTAACAACCCTTATGTCCACTAGCAAATTTTCTTCCTCTTCCATGACATGAAAAATTTCTTTGGAAGTGCCTTTGCCTTATCCCAGACTTGAGGCCATTTATCATCAAGAACTGTGGCTTCTTTAATCAGCCAACACTAATATCCATTGGCTCAGTTATAAGCATTAGGTATATACCTTCAGTCAGAATGCTGAGGAATACACCTTCCTTCATTTTTTTTCCTTAATTTTTTTTTTTTGTAGTGAAGCATGTAATGATAGATCTGCTATCAAATATTTTTATTTGAGGTAAAAACAAGTCTCTTTACATGCAAGATCAAAACTTTTGAGTTGTAAACTGTAGAAACTCAAAGATCTAACCAAGTAACCAAGCCTGCATTTTAAAGCAGAGAGAGGAAAAAAAGAGGAGTTATGGTTATCAGTGAACGGTAGACACATTGTTTCCTCATAAGGATAAACTTTTGTGACCCTCATTCTAAACTCTAGGCCTACATGACAAATCAGCAACAGAGATCCTCAAAGAGAACTTATGAAAGATAGTTTTACAAAAAAAATACCTTTCCAAGATAACAGTAGGTATTCTATAGTTTTATACTGAAGAATTTATTTTTACCTTAAAGCACCTGAAAGATACTACTCACCTTTGCTAATAATTCCCTGTTTATTGTAAAGTCCACTGTTCCTGGACCAGCGCTGATTTCACTCACTACAGCATCACATTTTAGCTAAAAGAACAAAATAAAACAGAAACTCTACATGAAAACAGGTAAACTGGAAAACTGTAATTCGATTCACTATAAATATTAATTTAGTCCACTGTAAACATTAAATGTTATTTGCTAGTTTGAAGCAATCGGAAATGGATCATTTCATCAATCCTGCTGGAAAAGGAATGATTTTATTATTTCCCATCCATGCTTAATAGGTCTGAATACAACTCAGCTTGAAATGTCGCACATATGTTCTATTTCAGCTCCTGCCTGTGCACGGTCTGTGTTTTCTTTTGATTGGGAGCAGTAGCTGAACTCTTTTTACAGACAAAAGCTGAGATACATTTGACAACTTACACAGTACCTGACAGCACTTAACAAAAACAACAAAAAAAGTTTAGTGACAATGGGCTGCAGTGCCCAGTGACACAAAATATACCCTGAGATTGGCTCAGTTGGTTAGAGCATGGTGCTAATAACAACAGGGTGGTGGATTCAATCCCCATATGGGCCATTCACTTAAGAGCTGGACTGGATGATTCTTGTGGGTCCCTTCCAACTCAGAATATTCTGTGATTCTGTATAAAATAAATATGTTAAAGGCCAATTTATTAAAAATTTTATTTACAATTATCCATGTTTTGAAAATTCTGAACCCATAAGGCACATCTGGGCAACCAACACCTAATGTCAACACAAATTTGGGCCTCTTCACGGGCTGAGAGTTTTGGATCTCAACCTCTCAGGTTTGAGAGCTTCTCATTAAACTAGTTTTCATAGCCTAGAAATCGTAAAAAAAAAAAAAGAAAAAGAGGGATGAAAAGCATATAAAGAAATGACACAAACCTTATCACTTGGTTAAAATCTTTGAGAGAGGCGAGCTATACATTTCTACTGAAGCTCATCAGCACAAAGAGGAAATTGTACCCCCATGCTAGGTCTCCAGCTTAGACACTGACCTAACCAGGAGAAATGACACCTAGCCTTGAAGTTCTTTAACCTTCACAAGCTCTGATAACAACAAATACCAGTGTTAATTCACAAGCTACATAAAAAAACCCCCAAACATTTACTGTTTTGATGCTGAATTTCCCATTTTACTGTTTTACGGAAGGTCCTTTCTACTTATGGGGCAGAGAAAAAACAGAAATATACACCAGACTTTCTCCATAACATTTGTTCTGATAAATGTTTTCTACATAATCTGTCATTTGTCATGTCAGTAGTTTTCACCTCTTTAACATGAGAGCTGATCTGGCCTCTCCATAGCTTTAACAGCCTCTCCTCCAAGTACTCTGTGGTTCTTTAGTAACCAGATGTCCCCACGCCCAAGGCTTGGACCAGAATGCCACTGTGCTGTAAAGAGGCACAGAAACCCCCAACACAATGTCCCCTGCACAAAGAACTAACAGTACAAAAATGAAACAAGAATTAGCCAGCCAGATGAAATCAAAAGCCCATGGAAACAGGACCCTTTTGACACACAATTCTCAGCACCCAGAGCACATTACGTTTCATTTAGTATCACGTTGCCGTATTATTTAGACTATTTTAGTCAACGGGAAAAATTTCCACCTCTTCTGTCTAACCTAAATGTCTTTATTTCAAATATTGTGACCTATTTCCTCAGAAGTGACTAAGAGCATACTGCTGAATGTTAAGGCACTCCAACAACTGTTTGTCATGACAAAAACTGGTAACTGCCTGCATTTTTCTGTCTGTCTGATAGTTTTAGATACATAGTCTTACTTTGTTAGTTTATACACTGCTCACTTCTTTGTAGAAGATATGACCAATTTAAACAAATTATACTAAAAGCATCCCCTTTATTCATCACTCAACAAAAAACATTCCTAAGAGATTATGGATTCTTTTCTAACTGGTATGGTCTATGCAATTTGGGGGCTTACACTGATGGTCTGTTCTTCTTTACTGTTACAATTGCTCCTCCATATAAAGCTTTAGGGCTAAATGTCCCAGGTTTATTTAATGAGCCACAAACAATAAAGGAGGGAGGCAATTTTCAGCTTCCTAAACATTGGGAATAGCAGCTGTTTTTAAAATGAAAGACAGGACACAGGATAAAAAACTTGTTCCCACGACAGCGTAGTCATTGAAACAGATTACAAAGGAGGTTGTCAGATCTTTGGAGGCTTTCAACACCTGATTTCATTTTAAAAGTCCTCAGCAACCTCATCCAAACACCTTCAACAACCTGCACTGGGGAAGAGACGGGAACAGATAACTTCCTAAGGTCCTTTCCCACCTCAATTATTTTATGGGTCTAGAAAATCTCTAAGCTGTTTCAGAACATTTGGTTGTACATCTGTGCACCATCAGTTCTTTCACCTGAGTAAGGACACTTATCTTGTTAAAAGAACAGGTCCAAGTTATGGACATCTTCAACATCTCAGCAGCGAAAAATGAGATGAAAAACAGTTTAGCTTCTCAATAGTATTACAACTGGGTTTATTTCTCCTTTTTAACTTCTGATTGTAGAGCGACCCTACTGATTCCTTCTCACACTTGCTGGCAATTTCCTAGTTTATACTCCTCTGCGTTGGCATCAGCAACACAGCTTTAGATTGTGAATTATTTTCTTTTTTGGTAAAAATGATTTCTAAAACCTTACCATCACCCTTCCGATTCCCACTTTTTTCAACTTTATGCATGCCAGCTTCTCCAGATTTTTATTTCCTTCCATCCTTCAACGTTTGTGTCACTTCTGTAGACCTTGTTTTTCATACTTCTTCTTTTTTTATGTTGCAGTTAGTCTTAATACCTTGATTACTAAGATTTTCCAAACTAACACTCCTGAAAAAAATTCCTGTTCTAAGAAAACTCAATTTCAAGCAGCTAGGGATTTGAAAGTTTGACCTGTTTGTCTCAAAGGCTAAATTTATCCATTGTTTTTCTAGTGCTGGATTTTGCATCTTTGGTTTTCCAAGCCATCACACGCTCAATTTCTTCCTCAAGTGCTGGCAACAGTACAGACCGTGGCATACCCTTTAGATATCCACCTAACTCCACCAGTATTATTTCTCTCAAACTATTTGAAAACAGCAATTTCAAGAGAACCTCAACTAAAACTGCTTCTCCAATTCCCTGTGAAGATTCTGTGTACAATTACAAGTGCAGTCATCAAACTACTCCGACCCAGACACATGCTTGGAGAAAGAACACTTTTTACCTTATGATGTCTCTTACACCTCTAGTCCGTAAGTTTCTTATTGCATAAATATGTGATGAATGCATTAGCATACCCTTTCAGCCAGCTTCTGAGCTTGAAGATGCAAGTCTTGTGCTAAGCAATCACTAGAACTGTTTTCTATTACAGAAGCAATGGAGAGCCGGAAATCAGCAACGTGCCTGAAAAAAAGCACATATGAAAATCAGGAAAAAAACCCTGTTGCAATGCTGGGGAGATCCGGAAGATCCAAGCTGACTTCTGCATATGACAATTCTAGTTGCCAAGCCTAACCCAGACACATATATCTGAAAGTTCACTATGTTTAGAAAGCTGCAATAGAAGACCAAATATTACCTTTGCTCTAATACAATCAAAAAGTAGATATGGTAAGAACACTATTTCAGAATAAACAAAAGCTATGCTTATGAGTGAGTGTAATTTACTTGCTAACATCATTACCACTCTTGAGCAGGACACTGAAAAAAAATCCCATTATAACTTCACATTGGTTCTAAGCAGTTTCACATTCAGATCATTAATGTTGAAGCATTTGCCATTCAAGCACTGCCCGTAATTTGTACAGTCTTTTAAGAAATTATTTTGAGCTTGCTTGAAAAAATACAGTGATTTAATTAGATTGAACTATTTTCTTACAATTAAATTGGTACATAAGGTTTGGGTTTTTTCCATATTTCTTTTTCCCTAGAGTTAAGCTCTTGCAATAATAAGCATGACATAAAATAATAAAACATGACATAGTATTGTAAGATAAAATGTAAACAACTACCGTTTTTTGGAGACGGGAACGGCAGATATGGACTTTATTAAATTTTCTGGTGGCAGATCCAAAACCTTTGAAAGCTAAATTGGAAATAAAGAACGATTTGGCTTAAGAAAAAAAAAACACAACAAAACCAAACAAACAAAAAACACCAAAACCCCTCAAACAAACAATAAAACAACCAAACAAAAAAAACCCAAGGAAAAATACTGCTCCCTGTTTAAATACCCATAGAGGATGCATTGTTTGTATTTGAAAAAGGAAAGACTTGCTAAATATTATGAACAAAAGAATAAAATATGCGATACAAACTCAAGAAATGTTAAAGGAGCCTTAGGAAAAAAGGCAAGGCAAAACACCACAAAGGTTTGGGATTTTTTTTTCCCACAAAGGATCTCGTCAAACCCTCCCGTGCCATTATCGACCGAAGTAGTCATGGAATGGCAGAATGGTTTGGGTTGAAAGTGACCTTTAAGACCTTAAAGTTCCAACTCCCTGCCACGGGAAGGGGCACCTTCCACTAGACCAGGTTGCTCAGGGCCCCATCCAACTTGGCCTTGAACACTTCCAGGGATGGTCGCTACACTTCACTCAGTTTATCCCAATCCCAGCTCGGATGTGGGTCGCGCCCACTGTGAGACGCCCGGGCAGTGCGGGGGGACTCGCAGTGAGGGCACGAAGGGGATGTCTCGGTCGCGGCGCACTGCCCCTCAGCGCCAGCCGCGGGAGGGAGCGGCGCGTACCTGGGAAGCGATGCTCCTGCGCCAGGAACCCACCGCCATGGCCGCGCCGCCCGGCGGAACCTCCGCGGCCGCCCCGCCCCCCCCCGCGCCGCTCCTTCCGCTCGCCCAGGGGCGGCCTGGGCCGTACCACCCGCGCGTTACAGGGGGAGGCGGAGGGGACGTGTCGGGAGCGCGCGTGCGCCAAAGTCCCGCGGCGTCCTTCTTCTTCCTCCTCCTCCTCATGTCCGATATCGCCGAGGCGCGGGGCGACATGAGCACGTGCTCCGTATCCAAGGTGAGGCGCGGGAGAGAGGGCAGGGGTCTCCCCAGGGAGCAGCGGGGATTGTGCGGGTGCTGGAGGAGCTGGACTCGCGGTATCGCCCGCCGCTCCCTGCGCCTGCTCCTCTTCCCGCCTTCTCCGTCCGCTGCTGTTTCCCGCGTCCCTTGGGCCCAGGTTCCCCGTTGCCCGTCCCTTCCCAAAGCTTTGGTGGCTTTCCGTGCGCCGGCTCCCTCCGGGTCCTGTTTTGCCCAAGGCGCTTTGTGTCCTCACCGCAGTCACACAGAATCACAGAATATTCTGAGGTGGAAGGGATCCACAAGGATCATCGAGCCCAGCTCTTAGTCCTGCCTAGAACATCCCCAGGAATCACACCATCATTGGTGACTGACACACAGTCATCCATCCGCCTGCTCCGCTCTCCTGTTGGCACAATAGAAACGCTGCCCTGGAGCAGAGCAGAGGTGTAGCACCTGTAGGTTTTGTCAGCTGAAGTCTGTTGGCACTTCTTGCTGCCGCTTTCGAAGGCTCGTTGCTTCTGTCCCCAAAACTAATTCAATGCATAAATAAAGATTAAAGTGCTGTCAGCCACAGGTGATGTTAAATATCTGTTATTGCCTTGGTATTTCCGAAATAAAACCTTTTATCTGGCCAGTAGTCAGGGCTGGCAGTAGGGACAGTGCATTCGTCAGAGTGTTAATGCATAGCGAGACTTAAAATTTTAAATTGAAATTTTATATTTGACATTTAATCTCGTGCTTGATCATATAGTGAACAACAGCAGTGGTTTCACAGCATCTGTTTTATCATCACAAGACTGCTATTATATTGTTTTTCACTCAGTTGCAATGTGCAGCTGGATCCTTTGGTGTGGAAGTTGCTGTGCAGATTATTACTTTCAGGAGCGAAGTGCTTCCAAACGAACTTAAAACTTAATCCAAAACTGGTGGATTTCTCTTCAGAAAATGGCTGTTGCCTTTTAGTTTGATAGTGAAATGTGTCACTCCACTTTGCCTCCCAAGTCCTTTGTGTAGTACTTTGCAGTTTTATATTCTGGTCTCAGCTACATTCAGTGGTGTAGGGAAATCCAATGCTTGTAAAGCATTCAATAGTACTTGTGTTTGGTTTGATTAAGCATATATTCTTCTTTTATATAGGTGATTTACAGTTATTCTGGCCAATTCCATTTGTGCTCCTGTTGTGCAGTTTTTGCCGTGGAATTGTTCCAGAGTGTTTAGCACCTGTAGAATAACCATAACTTTTGTCCAGCTGGTTTTAAATGCTTCTTAATATATATGGTAAAATGGAAAATATCTGAAGGCATCTCCAGTTCATAAGGCTGTTTTTCAGAGGAGGCCAATGTAATGTCTTACTTGTATAAGAAAGGAAATGTCTGAAGTCACGCAACAGAGTGGCGACTGTGATCAGAATGGAATATAACTCTGGTGTTTGATTTTCACTACATCATTCTTACACTAGTGGCTGAACTATCCTAGGTTGCGTTCAGTAATCCTTGCTTGTATTAGCATCTCCACTGAGAAATATAGGATTGAATCTGTCTGTCTGTTTATTTTCAACACTTATGTGTTTCCTTCCCCCTTGCTGTAGCGTAAGAACCTTACAGTGAGAGTTTTGAGATTTCTGATATATAGGAAATCATTATAACTCTACAAAAGAGATAAGGTTCTGTAGAGAGGGTGAGGGAAGAAATTTCAGATTTTCTAGAGGAAAATGAAAAAAATCTCCTGGAATTCAAAACTTAATACTTTATGATGAAAGAGGTCTAACTGAGAGATGCCTTCTATCTGGAGGAATTCCTTTGAACAGGGTTTTTTATCTGAACCCTTTTGAAACCATTTGTCATTCTGCTTCTAACTGTCTACTTCTTTGAGTTGGGATGTGGTTGTCCTCTAGCTTGGGCGTGTCATTGGCTTTTGTAACTGGCTTAGTAATACTCATTGCATTGTTCTGGATCACCTATTCATCTCAGCCTCTTGCCTTTTGTTTTTAACTGAAACTGAACAAAGAAAACTGTACTGATGTGTCCTCGGGGAATAATTACCTCTTAATTCTAAACCTGTTGGAAGTTTTGAGACTTCTAAAGAATATGCTACTGTTATAGTTGATGGCTAAATTGCAGAATGTTGTGGAAAGATGTAAAAGTTCCTCACAAGTGTGCTGCGATACTGCTTCCACTAGTGTTACAACTTGAAACAGGAATATAAAGGGACAATATGTAACTTGATATTCTTAAGAGGCTGGCAATTCAGTTCAAATTATTATTTTAATGGAGCACTGAAATTAAAGGATAATAAAGTGGCCTCAGGAGCCAGTTAAAATGATGCTCATATTGAAGTCTGTATTTTTTTTGCTATTCTCTAGGGCTGCTTTGTTTTTAAACCAAGTGCCAAGAAGAGAAAATTGTCTCAGAGTACAGGTTAGTGCATTTTCATATATGTTTCTGTGCTTGAGAAGGGTTAATCCTGGAAGGTTCATCACATCTAATTGAATTTGTATGATGAGTTCTGTCATAGCTGCATGAGGTTTTCTGTTGCTTCTTGATTGCTGAAAACTCATTTCTTTGGAGGAACGCAACCAAATTATTGGCTACTGTAAATGTGGTTTTTTTTATCTCCAGCAATCAAGACTGTATTGCTGTCATTGTCTTTGCACGTTTTTTTACAAGAAAACTCCGTACAATGCTACTATAAATTGTTTACTAACTGATAAACAATTCATCTGAAGAGTCTGAATGAGTCACTTTTAAGCTATGGAAGTCAGAAATTATATCCCATCCATAAGTCTTATATTCTGTGTAGTTTGCCTAAGTTTCTTGTAAAAGAAGAAAGAAAAGCCACTTGTGAAGATCCCATGGCTTCTGTATTTGCTGCATACATTTTCTCTAGATGTGTATTTAGGTATGTTGTCATTTGGGGAAGACTGAACAAGACTGACTCTTATTGGAGCCACAAATAATGCTCCTTGAATAGTTGCTGATTGAGATTTGATTAGGAAACTTACAGTTCTTATTCCCAGGTTAAACTACTTTAGCATCACCAGAGCTGTCAAAAGGTGTGACAATTTGTATGAAAAAGGTGGAGGGGAAATTAATAGGGCCAGATTTTTGTGGAAATCACCACAGGCTCTCATTCATTACCTACTGTAACACCTTCTTTAATATTAAACCCAAATTATTTTTACTGTGGAAGTTGTGACATCTGTAGCTCAGTGAATGAGAGACAGGGGAGTAGAATCCAAGCTGTCATTGCAGGTCATTGCAAGATAAATAAACCAACAACCAGGACCTGTGCATTTAAACCACGTTGAAATTTTGTCCCTTACTGGATATTACGTTTTTGTTTTTGCAAGATTAGTAATATTTGGATAAACTATTAAACATGTTGTTCTAGTTAGCAAATGCTTTGAGGCACAAAAATAAATGTGACTGAACTAAAAATGAGGCAGAGGTGAGCTAGTTTGGTTTCTCATAGCATTTGGTTAGAGTGTTGTTCTAAAGCAGTACTTTGATGTGCATCCATCCCATCTGGAAACCCAATCCTGTGAAGTTTGAGTTGTGAAACTTCTATTATCAATAGTTGATAATACTGTTACATTCCACAAAAGGCCTTCTGAGCATATTTGCATGTGTAGTTTGAGTTTTGGTTGTGTAAAAAAGTATATTATGTGTTAGTATGTTACCAATAATGTGGTGGCTAGATTTTCTTCAGCTAAAAACCTAAGACGTGTAATTGGAGTGAGTTATGTATTTTAAGTGATTTTTCTTAGGGATACAAATGAGGTGATAGTTTAGGGGAGACAATGAAAATGGAGGATGAGGGATGCTTTTTGTTCATCACTTATATTACTGTTTTGGGTGATTTTAGTGCTTTGTGAGATTGTGCTCATCAACTGGTTCTTTTCTAGAGATCAAACCACGGTGAAAGAGACCCACAAAACCTTCTGAAGCAAGGAAAAGATTTTTTTTTTTAATTTTGTTTAATTTTAATAATAAAGGCTGTTTGTTCTGATTTAGCTTTTAGCTCATAAGGGTCTTCAGTTGGAGGTCAGTTCTTTACTTTTTGCCTGCCTACTTGGATAATATATTCTGCTTGTTCCCTCACTTATTCTACTAGATACCAGCAGTTAATTAATTGCTTAAGAGAAAAGTAATTTCCCCCGGATGTATATGTATATTAAGATGTTCGTTTCAGTTGTTTTATTCTCAAGAAAAAAAAATGTTTTGTTTTCATAAGCTTATTTGTGCTTTCCTTTGCTTTCTGTGTTTCTAGCTCATGATTTCGGAATCAGAAATGATGATTCAGAGGATGCTGAGTTGCGGTTTGTTACTTGTCAGTCTTTATGGAATCAAATCAAGTCAGAAACAGAGGTGAGTCTTGTGCTTCGCATTTATAACAATGCTGCTTGCTTCTTTGTTTCTGGAGATCTTTTTTACATGCTTAAAAGCACAGTTATTTAATGCAGAAATATTGACTGAGACTGACATATTTGTCCAGAATATAAAATAGTAATAATAAATCCATTACTTACACATACTTGTAGCCATAGAACTGCATGTTTTTGATGCTTCAACCTGCTGATTCTGAGCTTCTCTTCTTACTAATTGTCCTTTTTACTAACTCCTGGCATACTGCTGTCTTCTGCTTTCAATTCAGTTAATGCTTGCCAGCCCTCTGAGGATTTTAGGCTGGTCTTGACCTCAGTGTTACAGAGTTCATACACGGCAGTCCAGGACTCACAGTGGATTTATGTGAATACAACTGCGTGGATGTCAAATACCGAATGACACAGCTGCA